TAGATTTTATGGGCCACATGTGAGGTATGTGTTAAGGGCGCGGACTACAAGTCAGCTAACTATCAATTTGTTTGTCGTTGTTGTCGTTGTTGCCGGTCGAGCAGTGAAATTAGCGATTCGCTGGTTACCAAAACGCCAGCTCGTCCCAACCCTGTCTCTGGTCGCCTCGCGACCCACCTGGCATTTGCGAAGGGTAAGCATATAAAACACCTTAGAGCGGTCCCATATTGTTGTAGTTGTTGTTGTTGCAGTTGGAATGGCGTTGTCTACGGCTCGACAGGTTGCAAGTTGCAAGTTGCAAGTTGCGAATCGCTGGTCTGAAGCACTACACCTCATGAATATTTCACTTGCAATCACATTGTTTTCCCGCTAACTTTTAAGATTGTTTTAGCATGTGGCGGAAATGGGCGTGGGCGTGGCATTGTCGGTTGCGGCGGTCGCCGTCGCTGCCGCTGCTGCTTCCACACGTAAAGTTGCAATAACCAACTTTGGCTTTCACTCAATTTCGCTAGCCGGAAAAGCAGTTTGAAAGCATGCACACCTTTGTGTGTGTGTGTGTGTGTGTGTGTGTGTGTGTGTGTGTGCGTGTGCTCTATAGGTAATCCTTGATTCCGCTGCATTTGGTGGCTCATTTTCCTGTCGTTCGGCACGCTTCCATCGCCTGCTTTAATACTTGATGCAGTTTTGGTATTCGTTTTTTTTTTTTGTGTGCCCGAATTATGGGAGATTTATGCTGCCGTCTAGAGCATGGCCAATGCCCAAGCCAACTAGTCAAGAAGTAGCTAAAGAGTGGGACAGCAACAGCTGGAGAGAGCGAGTGAGAGAGATAAGTGGCCACTCAAAGGAAATTACGTGTTGGTTTTGCAAGTGGCATGAGATAAACTTCCATAGCGTTTTTTTTCGCTCTCGCTCTCTCAATTTTCTCTATTTTCTTCTTGCGTTTGTTTTTCGTAGCATACTTTTTTGGGCCGTTACTTTGGTCGCCGCCAGCGCGTCTTTTGCAAATGTGCGTGGATTAAAGTTTGCCATGCTTTTAGTTAGCTCTGCAGCTTCTTCGTTTTTCAACTATTTTTTATTTTCTTCAGTCGGTGCGGTGTTTAATGAAAATTTTGTGCTGCCTCGCAGCTCTCCAGCTCACCCTAAAAATAAAAATAAACTGCCCCATTCCCAGTGCGCCACAAGGCAAATTTTCGCCCAGCGGTGCTTCAGTGTATTTGAGCTTCGTTCGCGTTCGCTTTCCCGTTTTATGGGGCACACACAGCAGGCGGCAGGTGCCACCACTGTGTCGAACTTGCAGCTGCAACTGCAATTGCAACCATTTTCATATTTTATGTACTTTGCGTGCTTAAAAATGTTTCAATTTCTCCACTTTTCACTCTGTGGCGCACGTTTCGGGTGAAAAGGTGCCACTGCCTTCACCGCCGCCGCCCACTTTTGCCATTTCAATTTCATGAAGGTCAGCGGGCAGGGCAAACCAAATAACTGCCGAGCTGCATGTAAAAAAAACTTGCTTGATAATTTTCTACTCAAATTGAATATTTGTAAATGTGTGTATGTATGTGTGCGTGTGTAAGCCAAACTTTTCTTATTCTCTGCAAATAACTTTAATGGAAAAACTTTGAATATCAAACCGCAAAAAAACAAAAAAACCTTGTCCACTACCAGTTCCAGTCACAGTCCCCGTCCAACCCAGGCGGGCACTCGAATTGAAAATTAAAATTGAATAGTTGCTCCACACAGCAAAACAACCACCTGGTCAACGAGTTTGGCAACAAGCCCCAAAACAATTCAAAATTATAAAGTAAACTTAATTTGTGATTCGTATTTCCATATACTTATATAAAAATTCCACAGTACTGGGATGCTCCTTCTGCTCGGAACATTCAATTACCAATTAATAGGAGCAGGCACATCCTGAAGAAAAGTTGCGAAAGATAATTAATGCTTTATGCTATCAAATAATTAGAAATAAAAACAAATAATGATTTAATACAGAAAATAAACCGCGATCAAATGTCCTTAAGTCTCGGCCAGTTGGGGCTCAGCACTTGAAACTCTACGCGTAAAAATATTATAGAAAATACATTTGTCTAATTAATTCAAAGAAGACCATCAATTTTTAAAATTTCTTCCGTTTTCACAAAGGGACTTGAGCTCAAATTCTTGGTATATATTGGAGGTATATTCTCCAGAAAATATAAATAGATGCCATACAAAAATTTGTTACGACTGTGTAATTTATTGGGTCTCAAATTGAATTGAATTCTAAAAAATAGGATATATTTCTTCTAAAATATAAAAAAAAAAAATAGTATGTCGAAATATTCATAAATATTCGTATCAGAATAAATTAAAATAATTTTATATTAATTATAATAACCATTTAAGTTGGTTCAGCTGTGTTAAGTTAATGGCGTTCAATATTTGAAAATGGTATTTATTGCAGACGCAAGACTTGGCAAATCATCAGCAGACAGTCGATTAGTCAGACAGTCATATCGAAAAATCCTTATGCCAGACGTTGGCAAGAAATGCTCAGAAACCTTTTTCTCTTTCTCATGACTTTGTTATAGAGCAGGAATAAAAGAACCGTAGCTGAAGTCCTTGTGCGGCGGTCCAATTAGCGAGTGTCTGTTGTAGGAGGACACGTTTGTATGTTGCTTCTGCATCTTTGGCGTATATCAGTGCCCAAGTGACAGAAAGTCATTTGGGTTATTAGCAGTCGAGTGTCGCAAAGGAGCCGAGAGACACATAGAAAGAAAGAGATAGAGCAAGATGCCGAGGGGTATGGCCGGAAACCCTTCTAATACGAACTTCAAAAGGAAAATGCCATAAGAAATAAGTTTCTTCAGCTGACATTATTTCGTTATTATCCGCATCAAGGATTCGATTGACAGGCAGGCACAGTCAGAGGCACAGGCACGTGCTGCCATCGCCTTTATCCTTGCGAAAACATTGTCTGGGGGCACAGCAGCAGGCAACAGCCAGCAGGAGGCGCCAGGACAACAACTGACAGCCGAACCGAGGCGCAGCACAGATACAAAAGAAATTATATTTACTGCTGGCCAGGAGGCAACGAACGAAAACAAAGCACACACACATACACAAATAGGCAAGTGGCAAGTGGGGCTGACGGGGCAGTACTGCTTGGCGAAATCAAATAAAATGCCGGAAACATGGCATCGAGGGCCCAAGTGGTGCCAAGTCATGTCAGGGGCCTCTGATACCGTTGAGCCTTGGCGACTTTTGCTTACCTATTTTTTTTTTCTTTTTTGATTTTTTTTTTTTTTTTGGTCGCCGCACGCATTCACGCACTCACCCACTCACTATTCACAGTATTCACGAATGTTTTCGCAGCAGATAAATACAACATTTGACACTTCATTATTGTGCCCGCAGCGTAATCGAATCAATTCCAGCTCTACTTCCAAGCCAGCCCAACCCACGTGCCTCGTCTTGTCATGGTGTCAAAAGTGCTTGACCATTCGTCGTCCTTGGTCTTGGGGTTCGTGGCCCAAGGCTCAAGCCAGCTTGGCCTGTTGACACATTCGCTTAAACGTATTAAATTGTTTGCCATCGCTATTGTTGTTGCTGCTGCTTTTGGCCAACAAGCAAAGCCTGGCATTTTATTTATACGCACTTTCGTTGTCCTTGTTGCTGTCTGCTACACGAGAGAACCTGATGCCTGATGCCCGATGGTTGATGGTTTTTTCTTTTATGTTTGTTTGTTTGCGTGCGGAAGTGCGACCAGTCCGCTCACTTTTTTCTTTCATTCCTTTTTAATACATTTTTGCACTGTCACACTTAAAGTAATCGATTACAGTATGGGTCCACTAACCGGATATGTTCGTTTCCGCTACAAATGTTGCTAGCGCCACATAATTGCGCGCCAGCTCCAGCTGTTTTGTATTGTAATTGTGACCTAATTACCCTATGATAACAAGACATTGAGGTCAATTGCGCCGTACTCTGTATATGGTTTCAAAATTGACGTAACAAATATTTGTATTCTAAGACTGTAATAATAAATCAATAACTTCCAGGCGGTAAAAATTGATTTTGTTTATTGAAAGAAGTACACCTAGACGTGGTTTAATGAAATCTATGGCTTGATCTGATGTTCAGATGTATATGTAAATTTTATGGAGGCTTTGATAGGAAAAAATTGTATTACCTGAACCTTTCCTTTTTAAGTCCCGAGTTGTACTCAATTGCAATTGCAACCCAATTCCTAGCTCAAAGATGGAGAGGTTCTCTTCACAAACCAAACCTTGAGGGGAAGAACATTTGTTTAAGCTGTCTTAAACTTTTATCTGAGTTGAAGATACACGCGGATATTTTTAAGTGTTCAAATCATTAGCTCTTCAATTACCCAAAAGCAAAATATGCCTACTTTGTGAACAGTGCATAGCCATCTTAGAGTTTGCATATTTCATTAGCTGTAAAGTAAACTTACCAAGCTTCATATAGTTATATGTGCACTTAATCCCATAAAACTCAGCAATTGAATTAATGCAAGTCCCTTGTAAAGCTGACATTGCGAAAGTTTTAATATTTAAGTGCATTTTAACACTTTGGTAGCTCAAGTACTTTCACACACACACGCACATGTACTTGCATATTGACATTTAAAATTGATTGGCAAATCAACAGCAAATGCACTAAATTATTTGTAAAGCTTTGCCAGGATATATGTGCATAAGGCTTGTCCGAAAGCAATTTGACAACTTTCATTAGCTGTGCATAATAGAGTGCACTTTATGAACTTTGCGACATTTGACAAATTTTCTCCAAAATGCCCTAAACCAATTAGCCACACACACACGCACACGGACACACGGACACACGATCTAGATGATAGATGCTGTTGGCCATAAGCCCAATAGTGCGTGACGTGTGCTCGTTGGGCTAATAATATTTGCAGTAATTTAGTTTATAGTTTCAGGCATTTCATATTTCGTATTGCGTATATTACATTTGAATTCCTTTCGCTTTTACAGCCAGCGCCCAGAGTCTGATGGCCAAGCATGAGCCCATGTTCATATCACGTTCGGAGACATTCAAATTCATAGCCGGAGATATTATAGTGCTGCCCTGTGAGGTGGCCAATACGGGTGAGTAGCCTAAATAAGTGTATGTGAATGTGTGTTTGTTGAGAATGAGTGTGAGTGCGAGTCTCTCTGTGGGTATTCTTAACTCAGTTGTCATTCAATTGCTGCGGTCTACATACTTGGGACATATGTGCATAATTAACCCTACACCATGTGATGCTGCCTTTCGGCTGACCGCAACTATGCATTAATCCACTCTGTCCAGCCTAAAATAAAAAGGATGAGCACTTGACGAGCAGCTGTCTAAGATGCGGCCTGAACACGTTTTTGTTTTCGGTTACGGTTTCGGTTTTGGGATCCACCCAAATGTTGCTTGCGCTGCTGGCATGTGCCAAGCACGTTTTTCAATTTAAATGCGGTCGTGTGTTGAGATTATTTGTACATAACAAGGATTTAGCGTCAGGACATTTATTCACATACATATACACAAATAACTATATAGCAAACCAGTCAGGTTGCGGCTGGGCGCTGTTGTCGTCGCAGTCGTCTGGACATCTTGGCCAAGTTTGTATACAAAATGCTACATAAAAACTTGGGTCCAAACACTTGGCATATATTATTCGTATGTGCAGACTTATGTGGGCGACTGTCCTGGTCTACAAATACACTGAGCAAAAATAGACAAGCATTTGGAACTTTAAACAAGCACAGTCAAGGACAATGTTAGTTGTCGAGAGAGAATTCCTTAAACAAATTCTTAGTGAACCAATTTAGTTTTTTTTTTACCGAAACTCCAAAAAACATTTATAAAACTATTCCATAATAATTTGAGTCCTTATAAAATAATGATTGTCCTTGTGAAAAATCTTTTTACTTATTTTGCCAGCATTCAGATTAATTTGTGCCTGTGATAATTCAAGTTTCTTAATCCAAAATCGAACGACAATACTTTTTAATATTTCATTATACAAAAATATAAAAAATATACAACACACAAGTAAATATTAAAAACAAAAACATCAACTTCTGTTGCAAATTTGTAGCTCGTATTTTAAGTACGTTTATTCTTGGAATAAGTAGTTTTTTCCTTATCCAAGCAAAGATCAATTTCGAATGTGGCAGCGGCAAAATCTACAATTACTTTTTGATATGCATTTTTCTGAGTGTATATTAGTATATGTGTGTATGTAAGTTTTGTGGTCATATCAACGGTTTATTAGAACCAGCATACAGAACAAAGAACATGGCATTTTCTTTGGCATATCTCATGCACTTCATTGCCCCAACGAAAGAAAATGAAGGAGTAGTAGAAAAGAAAAGAAGCGGAAGCAGGACAATGGCAACAACAACACAAACAACAACAACAATAACAACGTGGACAATGCATAGAACATTCTTGCAGAGCAGGGTATTAGAGCCACAGGCATTTGGGTAATGATAAAAAGCGAACACAGCAAGAGCAAAAGCTCAAAATGCGAAAGCAGAAGAAAAAATAAAAATAAAAAAAAGTATATAGAAGCAACGTAACCAGGTTTCCACAGCGCTATCTAATGGCATTCTATGCTAATAAAGTGCCACCATACGACAGTTTAATTAGAAACATTTCTCAAGCCTGAGCTCAACTCCAGCTGCTAAGTGCAATAATTAAAATCAAAACCGTGACGTCTTTGGGCCGTGTTCATAAGGCGCACTTTATGGATATTTAAAAAAGAAATATGTTAAGACAGGCAGCTGCTGCCGTTCTCTCATTTTTCTTGAGCTGCTTTTTATGTGTTAACCATAAAGCTAAAAACGTAATTGATAGAATTCTTAAAAACGCACTCAATCCTGCTGTTGCTGTCCCTCAACTTGCTTCAGTCCCCACCCCCACCCATTCTGCTTTCCACTCAGTATTTGTATTCGTCGCGATGATGAGCTAAATACAAAATTTATGCACATCTTCATTTTATTTTATGACGAAAGCCCATAAAATTCGAAAATCACATGAAAATGAGCCAAAATGATGAGTTTCTCTGGTGCTGTCTTGCTCTCTCTCTCTCTCTCTCTCTCTCTCTCTCTCTCTCGCACTCTGGCCTTCTCTTTCTTTTGTGCGACTGCTCATTTGCATATTATATGAAAATTCCTTTAAATACTTATTGCGGTGCTTCGCACTTTTACAAAAGTAATCTTATGTCTTGGCAAATAAGAAATATAAGCACATCTTAATATACGCACACACACGCATGCACACACTCAACACACACGCACGCACAACCAAAGCTCTCAAGTACCTGTGCAAGAGCCTGTCTAAATAAACATTGAAGCATTTCATCATTATTATGTTATCTTGTTATTTGCATTTCGTTCTTTTCTTTTTTCTTGCATATGTGCAAGGCTATTCGAGTTGCACGCTATGATAGTCTGTCTTCTGCCCTTACCTCTTCACCATTATGCCCCCACGCGCTCTATTAGAACCTATGCGTTGCTGCCTTTGTTGATATGCCAGTCGGCACTTGCGCCTGGGGCTATGCAACATAAAAGTAATTCCGCTAACACAAACACACGCAAGGACCTTGCTTTCTAGCAGCTGTACATAGCCACGCAGGCTATACCCTGTACTCAGAAAATTTTATGAAAAAAGACAAAATTAGTTTAAATTGATATAATCACTTAAGGCTTTGATTTATTTCATAATAACTAAATACATCACAGATTTTAGAATGATTATTATTTATTTTGTACTTACATATTACGTACTATTTATCTTCTGCTTTGTAAATGAAGAGTACGACGAGGCATAAGCAATCAAAACGCGTAAGGATGTGAAACATTATTGCTTTCAAATCAAAAAATCCCTAAAGGTATAGATTTTTAGATATAAAAGCAAATATGTTGAACAAATGAAAGTAAAGTAAAAAATCTGAATTTAAATTTAATCAAAGCTTATCCAAGCAAGGCTGGCTTATGCTTAAGCCTTAACTCCATAACTCAAATAATTCCATAAGAATACAAAAACAGGCATTGGAGTTGTTTAACTAAATTCCCTAATTACTCCATCAAATTTTGTTTTCAAGAGTTTCTGAATTTGCTAACAGATGGTAAAGATGATAAAGTTGTTTCTTGCGGCACACATTTGTTTAAGCAAATTTCTTGTTGTTGTTTATTTAATAATTATTTCTTCTAACAAATTTAAAAAGTACTCACACATTTACTTAAAGGCTTATAATCAACTTGTCTTTCGCACAGACACATGCACACACGCTCAATTCCTTAGGTATATTTGAATATTTGCGCTCTCATCAAATATATCAAATATAAATGGCAAGTGCTGCTGTTGAAAGGCTTGTCAAGTGCGTGGTAGAAGCTTTGTGTGTGTGGCTATTTTATGAATACCCTGTTTTTTTTTTGTAAATGTTTAAGAAGGGCTGCTGCACTAAGTATTTAACTTTTCCAATTAGTTTAAATATATTTATTTCATTTTTAAACATATGATAAATATATACATACAAATATAACGTTTTAATTTTTGATGCATAAATATTTATTTTGTAGTGTATTAACCAAAGTAAAAAAGTTAAAGTTATTACCTGAAATTATTATTTTAAATAACATTAACTTTGTTTGAGACATCATTCTGTGCTTGAAGCGGCCTGTTTAAACACTGTTTGTTTAATTTTTAAAAATATAATTTTTATTTCGTTATAAGCAACTTTCAAGTTTGGCTCACTACGTAAAACATTTTTATTTATTATTACATTTTTAAAAATATAACTATTAATTTTAATAAACGCATGTTTTAGAATATATCTCTTTCTCTACGACGCATTGATGGTATACATAAAATTCATAGCGTAGGTATAGGGTATCTGCCACTTAATCAACTTAAACTAGAGCATTCTTAAATAATTTCCAGTTAATTCTATGTGTGCGTGCTTGTGTGTTGTTATTAAAACATAAAAGCAGAGAAATTCTTAACCCTTTTGAAAATGTCAGGAACTCAAAAACTTTGTTTTGTAGCTCTCAAATAATTTGCTATTATTAATGGATAGCCAGCAAAACAAACGTATACATCTAAATCTGAAAATGCAATACGGATCGGTTTTGGTTTAATTTTCATTTGTTATTTTGCCGAGTGGATTCAAATAATTAATTGTTTTTCAAGCTGTTGTGTAACCAAAGGCCGGTGCTTAACTTGTCAGCACGCATAAGACTTTTTCCTGTTGATGGTTTTAGCCGCAACAATGGCAAAACAACTGGAACAGCAACAGCAACAGCAGCAGTGGCAGCAAAAAGTGGCAACTGGCAAACTCGAATGCAATAAAATGCAAAAAGGCACAAAAACCTCAGTTACGGCGACCACAGAGAAAACGCTCATTACGCTTTGATGGAGCGCCAGAGCCGGAGCTGGAGCTGGAGCTGGAACTGTAGCTAGAGGCGAGGCCGGAGTCGCGGTCGGATTCGGTGCCGCAGCGCTCGAAACTATTACAGAGCAACGGAAATGGAATCGTGCCGCAAAAGTTGAAGTTGTTCAAACAGCAGGACAGCAGCTTTATATAGGTAGTCGGGGCAGCAACAAAGTTTCAATATTAATGCCATTTACAGTTCTAATTTCGCTTTTTACGTACGCGCACAACACTTAACACAAACACACACACACACACACTGGCAACACACACAAGAGTTGTGCAAGAAGTTGCAGAATAATGCCATATTGAGGCAACTGCCTGGCACGCCCTCTGCCCTTGTGTGTGTGTATGGCTGTGTGTGTGTATGTGTACTTGGGTCGGCTTAGCCGCAACATCGTTTATCTTCGGGGGTCATCATCTTATAATATTGGCCTTTCCGACATGCAATAAATTGCGCTCTGGCAAACAACATGTCGGTTGGCATCTCTCTTTCTCTCTTTCTCTAACTATGTTTTGCTCGGCCAGCTCCTTGTTGCAAGTGGCACATGCCTTGTGCCTTGGCTTAACGGCAAATTGCGCATACGCACCGTGTGGCTAGTGCAAACAAACAGAGCTCGACAACAAAAGCGAATGTCGACCATATTTGAATAGCCTCTGTGTGCGCCTCTGTCTGTCTGTCTGTCTCAGTCTGAAGTGTAGAAAACTAAAATTTCGCTCTGGCTCTAAATAAGGCACGAGCACACACAAACACACACATACAAACAGCACACTGAACATGCGGCTGGCCATGGCCAACAATTTGTCCAGTTCCAGTAGGAGGCAAAACGCAAGGCCCTGTTCATGTGAGGCTAACATACAAAAGCCGAAATGCTTTTACTCTGTTTCCGCCTTAACAGATAGCCTCAGCCAGCAGAGTAGTCACTCAGCAAGTGTGTGTGTGTGTGTGTGTGTGTGTGTATGAGTGTTTCTCTTTAGTTTAGAACACTTAAACCGGAAATTGAGGCGTTTTGTGTTTTGCTTGTTTTAGTTGGATTGTTGTTATTTTAGTTAACAATTTATTTAGTTACAGCCAGCACAGTCACACACTCGCACATACACTCACACACACACACACACACACACTCGCATATACTTTTACAATTTATATGATCTCCTAAATTATTTGTGTTGCATGCATTGTTCAAGTGCCTGGCCACACTTTAAACGCCACTGCAAGAGCACACAGAATATCAGAACACCCCATACTCCCTCAAAATGACAGCTGCTCATCTCTAAGTTTTATTAATTTCCTGCTCTGACTATCAAATCTCGTAGCCAAGAGCAACCGACCTGTGGTTTCATATGCTTAACTATTATAATGAAAATTCGTTCTTTTAATATGCCACAACCCCGTTGAGCATTTCGACCCGTTATGCTAAAAAATAATCCTGGTTAGCAAAGGCGAGAAATTTAAGTTTATATTTACTTAAATTTAATGTCTGGTTTTTCTTTACTATAATAGCCTATGCTTAATTTATCAGCAATAATTTGATTGTAATAGGCATATTGAAATTTTTGAGAAATGTTGCCAAAGATGCTAAATAAAGCTAAGCGATATTGTGGAGTCCTCTTTATTATCTAATTAAATAATGTGAAGCTTTCGCCTGAATAATTTTTTAAAATATAAGCTTGAGAATTGAGTATAAAAATGCATTTTAAATTTTTTACTTATTCCTGTCGGACTTCGAATAGAAACTCGTCTTATTATGTAAAATTATAGTAAACAATTTCATAGTATTTTAGGGTATTTTTGTAGACCGCTGGAGCTGAATCCACCGACTGCATTATAAAGACCAAGTGCTGACTGCCATTGCCTGGCTGCCTTTAAGTAACTGGCAGACCAAAAGAAGACAGGCTTACACACACACACATACATCCACACCCCCTGCCCCTCAGCCAGACCACGAATTATGTTTTCCGCTCTAAAGGCAGCTGCTTGGGTTTCTCCTTCGTTTGCAGTTGCAGCTCCATGTTCGTAGTGCACGCCAACGACAGCAGGTGGCGCTAGTTTATTTATTTGCATGTGCGAATGTGAGTGTGAATCAGTTTGTGTTTGCGTGTGTGTGTGAGTGTTGCACAACACACTATACGCTTGCCTGCTGTGCCGACAGACTTGCCTGGTTGCCCTACAGCCCTTCTTCTCTACCTCTGGCTTGTTGATGTTGTTGAACTCATTGCAAATAAATACGCTTTTTGAATGCGCATGTAAATGACTTCATAAGCATTTTATTACCACCAAGTTTCACGGAGTCTATGCACACACAGGCACTCAGACACACACACACACACACTCACGCGGATAGACACATTTGTGTGCGTTGAAATCAATTTTTCCTTCATATTTCTCGCACTCTCTATATCTATTTCTCACAGTCTGTACCCTGGAATAGGCCGTCAATAATGAGCGGTGAAGCTTTAATTTTCAACACGCTTTTTGTCCCAGAAGAATACTCGAAATACTTGGCTGAAATACTCGATACCCGAGCGTATCGAAATTGTTGTTTTAATTTTTAATGAGCGCCATTCGCGGAAGTCATACATCATTAGTAGCAAATCCGGACAACTTCAATTTCAATATGTGGGCGCACAGCCGGAGCGCCCCCAATGACTGCCTCATACACCGTGTTACAGCGGCACGTGATGCTCAGTGCGAACAGACAACGCACAACATTCAACACATAAATTGAACAAGCGGAAAATTATACGGGAGTCCTCGACTGCTGATACCCTGTAATCAGCAACGACTTTATTCTATAGATACAAACATCATTCTGATCATTTATTTAGGCAGCGGCTCAGCTTCTACTTTGTTTACTCTCATCGTGTGAAAGATGAATTCTTCAATAACTGATCTGTTTTATGTGCGATCGGTATAAAATTATCTAGGCCTAAATATGCTGTTCATGTAAATTAATGTATGGAAAGTTTCATTTGTCTTACCTATAAAATAACATAAATTTCAAATTAATTATCTTTCTTTATATAATGTGCAAGATATGCACGAGCACCCGGGACTACACAAGTTTCTGTCAAACACAAGATCGTATTACTTCTTTTCCCTATTACAATTTTGTGCACATTTGTGCAGAATAGCAGTGTATCCTTTTTGCCCTTTTATAATGGGCTTAGGGTATAAAAAAGAATCACAATTAATGAGTTCGATGAATGCGCCATGGAGTATGTCTGTCTGACTTGCTGTCTGTCTGTCTGTGCTTACATCCTGTCTCTTTCTGCTTGCTTTCAGCCTGTTGAAAGCCGCTTTTCATGCCCTTTTCCCTTTCCGTTTGGCATATCGAGTGCCTGGCATATGATTGCAAATGCCGCACATTAGCGGATATCAAGTGGGTGTTATTGAGTGTATGTGTCGCCATACAACAGCCCCTGTCACTCCCTTCCCCACACACGTAACCCCTCTGTATGTGTGTGGTCTGATGTTGTGCGCGAGTCCATGCCAAATTGAATTTCTAGCCTTTTAGATCTTTTGAAATGCCTTGTAATTGAGTCATTTGAATTCTGACTTTTCAATTTATATTGCGAGTGTACTACAGTGGGCGTGTGTATGTGTGTGTGCGTGATTGAACTTAATTTAAGTGATTGCCCTCTCGCATTTACCAATTAACTTGAAGCAGACAAGACGCAATTATAGCTCACGCTCAAACTGATTTTTTTATATGTTTTTATTTAACTTGTATTCATTGCAGAACCCTATGTGGTTGCCTGGAAACGTGGCATTGCCATTTTAACCGCCGGCTCTGTAAAGGTGACGCCCGATCCGCGCGTCCGTTTAGTGAGCGGATTCAATCTACAGATACGTGACGCTGTGCCCCAGGATGCTGGCGATTATATATGCCAAATTGCCACGATGGAACCGCGGGAAATAACACACACCGTCGAAATACTGGGTGAGTGGTCCAAAAACCAACCAATTGCAATTTGCACTTGTGCTCATATTTTTGAGCGAAAAATATGCATATTCTTCTTTAATTATTATGCTTGTTGACGGCATTCAATTTTTTTTATAGAGTGTGAGCAGAGTATGTTTTTGATCAGTAGCAATATCAAAAGCCGAGTCGATTTAGCCATGTATTGCTACCCGGCTCTCAGTTTACAGACTGATACTATGTCATATTCTGGAGCTATTATCTAATCTTTACAAACCAGGATAATCGTATCAGTACCCCCACCAGTATATCATATAGCTCACTAAAAAATCGGCGGAGAAAAAGAGAGAGAGAATTATATAATTTTTTGCATACGTAAAAAAAGCTCTATATGGGTATTTAATCTCTGGTGTGCCAAAGATAGCTGTTCCTTCAGGGGGTATTCTTATTGTGTCTCTGACCTCATAAAGTATATATATTCATGGTCGCCCGTCAGTATGTGTCTATGCGAACTGTCTCTCAGTTTTCATTCATTATGAAACTCTGCAGAAGTTCCCCTTTCCTTTTACACACAGAGTCGGTACCGCTTGGATCGGACCATTATATCATAAAGCTGCCATCGATCGAAATATATTTTTTGCATAAGAAACTTAATTGTTTGCCAAAACATCTTGACCTGCATTTACAAGTTTCACTATGCTCCCTACATAGTGGTAAATCTTATTAACGTCGGACAACTAAATCATATAGCTCCCATTGGAACAATCAGTCGAAATGTGGGTTCTTGTATGAACAATTTTTTGTTTCTTGACAAAACTCGGCATGCTCCTCTCTTATATGGAACATCCTATCAACATCGGACTCCTAAATCATATAGCTGCCATAGGAACGATTGGTTAAAAATGAGAACCATTTTCATTATGATATGGTTGTGTCTGCAAGGGTATTAAAACTTCGGCGTGTCGAAGATAGCCCTTCTTTCTCGATTTCATTGTTATGCAAATTATTTGAGAGTTTGAATTTTGCGATAGTTCCTTTGCTTTCGTTTTTTATGGCCAAATTTATGCGGCTCGCTCTCACAAATCACTTGGGTCCATTGTGCTAGGCTACATCATTTGGACATGTATGTGTGTGTGGCTCAAATTAACATATCCTTAGATCCTTCCGACTGGCCCACTCAAATATGCTAAGCAGCTGAGCTGCAATTTGGCGGCTTTATGGCCACAGATTCAATAGGGATTCTTTTAGGGCCAGCGGAAAAATCAAAACTAATCTGCCATTTGCCCGCCCGCACCGTTGCAGCAAGCATCAGATCTAACAGACTTCAGATTCCCTTTACTGGCTGTCGATGCAAATTTCAGGGAATATTCCCCACTACACACCACTTCGCCCTCTTTCTATGTCTGTCTCTGCTCCAGGCTCTTAACTACTTCCTGTCCCGACAACGCATTTTGTGCCTAACAAGCGTGCGTTTCTCTCTGTTCTGCTCAGCTCTATTCTGTTCAGGTCTGCTCTTTAGTCTGCCCTTTGCTCTGCTCGCATCTTGTTGCTGCCTTTGTCTACTTCCTGGTCCTGCCCTTATCCTTATTCCTGGTCTACCCTGCTGTTCCTGCTTTGTGGTGGAGCGTCTTCTAATCAGCAATGATGAATAATTTGCATATATTTTCCCCCACAATTACAATGTTGCCTTTTTATTTGCATACGCCACGCCCCTCACTGGCTCTGCTTCAGGCACTGTTAACACTTTTCCTGACTTGGGGAGGGTGTGCGTATGTCTGTGTGTGCAGCGCATGCAGATTGCGATAGAATTCCCAAAATCTCCAAAGTGTAGCTTCGCCTCGGCTCAACTGGAAGCTCAGCGCCTGGTGCCTATGCGTTCTGCTTGGCAAATAGTTGACTGCAGTTGTTATCATTAAAGATGTCCTGAAGCGTGTGTGCAAATACTTTAAAAACCTTACACTCCACTTTGCTGGCCTATAAAAAATGTATATTTATTTGAGCAGCAGCAAAAAATCGACGCACACAACTTTTTTCATTTGTCATTGAAACTTGGTCCTGGCTGAGAGCTGATCCTGCCGCTGCTGCTGCTGATGGGGCTGGCTGGCATTGCCACAAACAAACATTAAACAATGACTGGCTATAGCTGCTCAATGACTGGCCCGGCTGGCATGGGGAGAGGCGACCGTCGACAACGACAACAAAAAAAGTCGATTATTGAAAAGTTTTGTTTATTTTATGTGTTTATTATGCGCTCCGTTTGCCAAATAATGATCATGGCCAGAAATATTTCGTTTATTGAACTTTAGCAGCGCACGTAAATTGTTGCCCCGCCGTGCCACCACCACAACCACACACCCACAAAAAAAGCCAACCCCCTACTTTGGTGGGCTCTAGTGTTTTTGGTACCAATTCCCGCATTGTTGTCAAAGGAGAAACAAGCAAAATAATGCGCTGTCGAAGTTTTTATAGGCTCAGCAGCAGACACCCCAGAATACCGAACTCCCCCGTCCCCCTCACACCACACACTCAATATGTGCGCGAATATAAATTTCATAAAGTTTGGCCCGCTCTGGCATTTTGGCTCGCCAGCTTTTACGAGCGTAAATTACTTTCAGTTTGGCCTCCACACTAAAGATGAAAAAATAATGTGCACCCGGCAAACTTTTGCACTTGTCCTTACTGCCGGGCAGCGGCCTGAACTGCTGCGCACTTACAAAGACATTAGCCGAACGATGGGCCCCAAAGCTGGCCAAGTGTAGCGGACCACAATAAACAGCAATGCCCGAAGCCAACGGCTCCAAACTTTGCCAGTTGACAAATCTTTTAATGCAGCCAACAAAAAAAAAAAAACAGAAAATGATGCCCAAAATCGGAATAACTGGCAGCTAGTAGACATTTATTTACACTGTGTCACATGCTTGGTTGCAAGCATGTGTGACATGCCGCACAATTTTTATGCTAAGGTGCTGAGGCTAGTTATAGTTGATCGAACTGCAACTCGTAGCAGACTAAGCATTCGAAATTTGAAGATTGAAAAGTTGAGGAACAGTAATACTGTTGCAATTGTTCTGATTTCACACTAATTTAATTCAAATTAAATGTGAATGCTTACGGAATAATAATCACAAAGAAAATAGCTGCCTGCTGTGCTGAGTTCTTTGAGGTTCAAATTAATTGTTCCATTTTGAATATTGCTTTGATGGTTTTCCGATTTCTTAAAGTGTTCTGGCTATAAGGATAACAGCAAATGAATATCGATCATGATAAAATATTTAAACAGATATAAATTTCCAAAGTAAAAACTATTTTTAATAAATACTTTGGTTAAATGGGCAGTTTAAATAAAAAAATTCGTTTATGCTTCCAAATCTGTTTGGAAACAGTTAAGTGGAAGTCAATATATTATTTTATTTAGAAACATTGATCCCAAATCGATATATTTGAAACAAAGTTGAACATCTATAGTTAACACCTTTTGCTTAGCATTTGTCTCTCGAGATTTCATATCCACTATTTAAGAGTTCCAAAAGAAAGATATAAGAAATATATATATAGTAAGATTGCGCAAACAGGCATTTATTATACTTTATGGTATGGGAGATACCTCATGTTGGCTATTGCATGCATTGGCAAAACTTTTTCAAACTCCGTTTTAACCAATTTCAATAGTTAGGTCTAGGTCGAACCCATATCCCTCTCTGGCATTTTATAGGCTAATTGCATTAAAAAATCGAAGCCCACTGTGCCAGGATCTTTGCTGCAAAATCAACTGCAATTTGTGGCTTTAAGGCTTTGACATTTCTGGATTTAATGCGCGTTTGCTGTTGACATTATTCAAATGATGGCTTGCGTTTAATAAAACCCAATTTTGACCATTGACATGTGTCAGCCCAATGTCCATTAGCCTACCCGGACGCAGCGACTTGCTACTGCCAACCGCTTGCCACCCACTCGTGACCAATGTCTGACCACAGAACATTAAGTTATGTGGCCGTCGTGCGGTCAGCTCTTGTGGTCATTTTGTCATTTTTATTGTGAACATTGATGAACGCATGTAATGACGTAATGAGTTAATGGCGTCATTGTTACAACTGTTACCTTAATTTACGGCTGCAGCGGGCAAGCGTGCGACTTAATGCCACATGTTTAGGGGCGGGGCTTTAAAAGGGCGTTCTGCCAGCTAGCTCCGTAAGCCGCTTAAAGTCTCGAACATGCGCCTAATTAGAGCCACGATCGACGGCCTCAACAATCGCTGGGCTTTTCGATTGGAAAGCATGATTATTATCAATCTGGACGGAGAATAAAGCCACACGATTGAAAATTATATGGCCAATATGGCAAATACAATTGTCCGAAAAACCACATACACACAGACACACAGGCAAACGTATGTAAAGGGGCGTGGCACTATAGACAACCAGGCAGCATTTAATTATGTGCAGCAGCCCAAACAACAACAGCAACAGAATTAATAATAATAGTTGTGCAGTACAATAACAATGGAGACAAGGACGCAAAGAGATAGATAGAGAGGGAGAGAAAGAGAAAGAGGCGCCCAATTGCATGCATGCAAAACAATATGCAATAAAGAAGAGATTCGGGTGAGGAAGAGAAGAAGAGAGGCAGGAGAGACGGACGGCGCAAGTGTTTGGCCAACTTTCTTTGGATACTTGAGACAAATTACCAACACAATGGCAAGTAAATTGCAAGGATATGCCAAAGGGATATATGCAAGGATATGCAAGGATATTGCCTGGCACACAAAATGGCCAGGATGCTTGTCCAAAGTGAACCAACAATTAAACGGCCTGGCAAAATACCATTCGCAAGCACTAGGGATACCGTTTAAGTTTTAGCACTCAACTTTGCCAACTAACTATGGATTTAAATTACTTAGCAGAGAGAAGCTCAAGCCACGCTCCATGCCCTCAGTCTAATCGAACTGTGCAACTTTTAAAGCCACAAAACCAAACGTTGAAGTTGCTGCTAGCGAAATAAGGCTTAAAATCAATATGCACACTTAGAAAAATAACGACAGCCTTCTACTCAATTCAGAACATTAAAATTTACTAAATCTCGGACTATATAATCATCATCGGGCGTTAAACTGCCTGAGTCAGCGAGTCAGATAGCAGGCTGGATGTAGCTGTAGATATTAATGAAGCGTATAAAAGTTGTTCTTTTTTTTTAATTTTTGAAGAACTTTTCGTGCCCTGAAGTTACTAAATACTAGGCCCAAATATGAAATATGACTTAATAAAATGTTGCTGTGGAAATTGAGGTTTACGCGTTTAATCATATTTACATATTTTGTTCCTTAGCCGAGATTTTTTGTTTGTTTTTGTATTAAATTAGCCGTTTTATGAGATCAAAGATGATTTTTGCTTGAGAGCGAATATAATTGAAATACTTTTTACACTCTAAAATTACTAATTATACTGAATTCTATATAATGTTTATCCAACTATATATCTATCAATCTATCTAAGTAAGAATAATTTGTCTTAAGAGCTTGGCTTCATACCTGAAAAGGTGAGCTCGAACAAGCTGTGATATTTAATACTTTCATTGGGAGCGTTTAGAGCAGCGATTAATTTTTTGAATATATGTCGTTTAGTTAAAGTATATTTAATCTTAAAATATTTAATTTTAAAATAAAAATGTGTTTAAAAGAACGGCCATATTCTCTGTGTGTATATTGTGTGTACAATTTGTAAGTATGTAATTGTGAGCTTGTAAATGTCCGCAAGTTGCCTCAAAAGCTGCTGCTGCAGCAGCGGATATTGTGGCTACTGCGGCATCGTTTGCCATGAAAGAGCTCGCTTATTAAAATTGTTGACTACCAGCCCTAGCCCCAGTTCCAATCCCAATCCCAGTCGCAGTTTCAGTACCAGTACCAGCCACTTGCCCTCCACCCACACCCGCCCACTGTCAGGCAGCGATTGGCATCGCATTAGTCGTCATCTGCATGACATTACATGCCGCAATCCACGTATTACATGCCACACACACGCAAGCACACACGCACGCACATACATAGAGAAGTCGAAATGAACTGCTCTGTAAGTCGTCAACTGCCTTACAGTTATGACCATGGTATCCGGGGCATTGAAACGAGTGCTCATATTATTTATTGAATTCAATATGCGACTTCAGCCCGCTGACGGCTGTCGGGCATAAAGTCTCACCAAAGCGTGAAATTATTGAAAATATATCTATCTATGTACATCCACAGTAAGAATGCCCCCTGGCTGGCGCACATACACATACAAGTGCAGCTAAAGATAGCAATAGAGCTATAGATAGAGAAACTGTTAGACACAGCGCGTCCTTTGGTCCTGTGCAGAACAAACAGACAACGACTTTATTGTGAGCTGCAGCTTCAGTCCCTGGGCGGCATGTCCTTTTCATTTTTATTTGCCTTCATCTAGTCTTGTTTTACTCTTTTATTTTATTTTTTGAGGTTTAGTTTTGGATGTGCGCCATGGTGCCATGATTTATTATAGTCGCATGCAGATTTGCCAGCATATCATTTTGCTATATATATATATATATGTATATATAAATATATATAAATATACTAATATATTTGTATATATCTGAGTTCTATATATCTGCAACTCTTTCTGCGGCCTTAATAATCAATTTTAATTTTCTTTCAAATGCAAATATGCAACTCTCGCATTGCGTTGCCTTCCTGTTGTCTCGGCTTCTTTCTATTTATTTTGGCCAAAGCAATGGCATCTGTCTATTATATTGCAAATTCGTTGCCAGAAATTGCATCAATCAAATGCATTTTGTCACAAATTTGGTTGAAAAACTCTCTCGAATTGAATTCATATGTAAGGCGTTCTATGCAAAACCGAATTAGCAAAATAAAATAAAATTAAAGTCACGTGTGTTGAGTGAGCGACTAGCTCATACCCCGTACTCGCTTACGGCAGCTTTTTAGCTGACTTTGTTAGCCTGAATTATTTATCAAATCCTCATTATAAAGAAAATGTCTGCTTGAATTCGTTTTGTACTTATTAATAAAACTTTTTTAGATTAAAAGCTTATCTAGTGCTCTTCCAAGCTTTAAAATTAAGGCAGAAAAAAACAAAATTGTGAGCTAAGCTATAAACAATAATATATACAACATTCGAAGGTCATTTGCCTGTTATACACCCTTGCACAACCTAATGCCACACTATTTGCTCATGCGCATAATTACAGGGCATCAAATGAAATGTACAAAACTGAGAATCAGATTAAATCCACAGCCTAACTTTCGTCCCCAACACAAGTAGCTGCTTGCAGCCAAAATATTAGAATGCCTTAAAAACAGGCCCGCAGGCGTGGTCCTTGCGCATGTATTTGAATGCGATGCCACCAAGCCGACATGGTCGTAATTTTTCTGAACAGTTGTAAAATAATTTTGGCCACAAATATAAATAAATTCGGGGCTGAAATTAAATAAAATGGACCAGCCAACAATTGGCAGCCGCTCCAGTCGCAGTCTCAGCCTCAGTCTCAACCTCATTCTCATTGACATTCACATTCTGGGAATGTGGCTCGTTCCACATGCGTAACCGCCATTTTGCACTCATTCAATTTGCATTTGTGCGCATATTTATTCAAATTGTTTGTCGTCCTTGGTCCTTGATCCTTGGCCAGGGCAGCTGGGCTTTGCATATATTTTAGCTCTATGTAGAACTGGACGCTGGGCAGTCATTGTTTTTAGCCGAAAGCAGATACTACCTCGACTACTGGCCATTTCTAATGTGTTTTTCCATTCACTTTCTGCCCGTCTCTGTTTTGTTTTGTGCTGTTTTTTTTTTCTATATTTATTTTTTGACTGTGTCCTTTTTGCAGTACCACCGAGGATTCATCACATTAGCACCGGCGGACATTTGCAAGTCAAAAAAGGTTCATCAGTGCGCATTGAGTGCTCGGCCTCTGGTAATCCAACGCCAAATGTGACTTGGAGCCGCAAAAATAATATTTTGCCCAACGGTAAGATTTTGCATAAGTAGGCCAAGCGAACGAACATACCAAAAAATAAAGAAGTTCCCAACCAGCCATCAACTGGTCAGCTATCCAACGGGCGGCGCAAATTAAAATTATCAAATATAACAAAAAAAAAAAAAAAAAAAGGAAATGTGCAAAAGTAAATGAATATAAAAACTTAAACAATTTCCATAAAAATAAAAAGCCAATGAAATTATTTGGAACGCATTGCCAACGCCCCGACGTCCTGCCGCCGCGCCTCTTCTTTTATTATTAAATACAATCCCAGTCTGGCTGGTTGGTTGGTTGGTCTTTCCTTGTAATTGGCTCTGTCATTTCTTCGATGGCCACATTGTATTGACTCCTGGTCTTATGTTTCCTTTTTGATATTTACAGGCGAGGAGAAACTACACTCGCACGTCCTGTCAATCGAAAATGTGGATCGTCATAAGGGCGGCGTCTACATATGCACCGCCAACAATGGCGTCGGCCAGCCCGCATCCAGCCAGGTCGTGCTGCACGTCTTATGTAAGTAACAGTCACATCCTGCCAAAGTCCTTCTGTGTCTTCTTCTCTTTCTCTCCCACTCCGCGTGTGCGAGTGTGTGTAAATGGTCCGTGTGCGCCTGAAAGCGAAACAAATTAATTTGACTTCAGTTGCCGCAACACCAATTGCTAGACACTTCAATTTATTTTGAAAACTGATTTCAATGGTTATTGGCCGCGCTGAAAACTACTTAGACATGCGCCTTTGGCAATTGCCATTTACACACACCGTACGGTGAAGACCAACCAGCAACTACTTCGGCTTGCAATTATGGGAAGTGCCGTGTCGGACCGACATTTATTTAAAAATTTATATGCAATTTCGATGAAAGTCTGTGGCAAAGGTTATTCCATACAATTTTCCAGCGCTGCCAACAACTAATTATATAGGGCAGCAGAACGCCGCAGACCTCCTCCGGAGATGTGCCATTGATTTTTGCCTTTGTTTTATTTTATACGTTTTCTTCTTCTTGCTTTACGTTTGCTTTCTATGTTATTCACTAATTTCCTTAATATTCTCCGAGACATAACAAAAAAATATGCTTATATATACCCCTTACAGATCCGCCAGAAATCTCCGTGGAGCGTCCCGTTGTCTTCTCCGGCGAGGGGCACGAGGCGATGCTGGTCTGCATCGTGCATGGCGAAACACAGCCTGAGGTATGTTTTAATTAAATTTGCCGCATAAATTTTCATTTACGCGCTGGCGCTCACTTGGACATAAAACAGCAGAATCTACCACAAAATCCATTAATATATACACACACACACACACACACACACATGCGCATACATATACTACATTTGCAGGCACTGTTGCCAGCTCAAGAACAATCGAGGCAATGCCGAAAATTGGAAGATAAATTCATATGTACCATTCTTTTTGGGGCTTAAATGCTCTAATCATCTTTGGCAACAATTGCATCTCAATTTGGCAGCAAAGCGTGCGCAGTTCGTACTCAAAAGTATATCAAAAACAATTCCAATCATCTGACGCGACATTAATTAAAAGTCTGCAAACGGCAAATTGAAGTGCTGCACAAAGCATAATTTTATCCAAACATGGAACGAATACCTCACACAAAGCAGCTGCATAAGCTAACAAAGAGCGTTAATCAAAAAATTACTAATATAAAAGCTCTTTGGCATGTCGAACTTTAAATACCCTTAACTCTAAAATATTTGCATGAGTCTTTGAAATCTTACAAAATGGATGCAACTGTACGATTATTCACTTGATGGGACTTTGCTTGGTCAATTTGTGTTTTCTATTTCTGGCTATACTCATGCTAATCACATCACATGTTATGATAGTTTTCTCCTACGAGCTTTTAGGTCGCGACTTGGCCAGAAAGTCCCTTTACATAAATATATTTTTTCCGTCTGACATACTCATTTTTTGGCATAATCTTTGAATTTTGCGATATTTTAATACAAAAATTTAATTTATATAAATCACACATTATATATATTAAAAACTTTCTATAAATAAACTATCGAATATTGCACGGCCTTGACCGTGCAACGTTTTGTGCAACAAATTTTAAATAATTCATGAAAATGAGTTTGACGTCGATCGGATAGTAAACAAAACAGTTCCATTAAATTTTCCACACATGCGGATTGAATTTCCCGAAAGCCCCTCTTAACGTTCACATGCATCACATAATGTAACTACAAGGAAAATTACAACTTCCTCGGTCTTACGGTATGGGTTGTACGTTTATCACCAATCCGTCAGTCAGTCTGCCAAGACAAACAGTTTCATATAAAGAGATATTTCTCAATACATAATTAATGCGTATTTTTATGCCTGGCATATTTTGTCAAAGAGAATTATTATACCCATTAAAAGAGTATTATAAACTGAAAGAATATGGATATGCTTAAACGCACACATATATATGGGCATAACATTTTTTTGCTGCTGGGCAATTTTTTATTATAGAGAAGTATTTATTTTTGTGCTTTGTGCCTTTGCCGACATTTAAATTAATACGCTTGGCTATAATTCAAAGTAAAATTGCGGAAGTTGCCAAAGCGGAAGTGTGAAGCGGCGAACAGCCAAAAAGGGAGCAGTAGCCAGACCAGAGCAGAGCAGGGCAAAAAAATGCTTTCAAAAAGCTGAAACAGACAGGCAGTGAGAAAGAGAGAAAGAGTGAGTGTGTGAGTATGTTTGTGTGTGTGTGTGCGTGCTTGTGTTGTAATGTGTGAGACCGAGAGAGCGCTAAATAATGACTAGAGACCGCAAATGTCAATGCTTAAAATTATACAGCGTCGGTTCGCTTCAGTTTGCTCGGACACTGAGTGACTCCGCAACCTCTTGCAGGCGCCCCTTACCATTCACCTAAGACCCCCCGCTGGTTCTACGAATTTTTGGGGCGTTACATTACGTTTTTATGCTATTTAATTTTTCACATTTTTTGTGTGCTCGTTTTGTGGCCGCAGAAGAGTTGACTCTGTACTTTCCCAGAAAAAGCGCCAACTACTTATTTACTTTTTTTTTTATTTTTGTTTTATTTTTGCTTCGTTCTCTCTTTGCCACAACTCGTTGCAGTTGAGTTCTACAGCTCTTTGTTTGTGCTGCTGGACACATTTCATTATACGACAAGTTGCACGCCTTACGCCTGCCTCACATTCTACATGCCAAAGGGGGTGGGCGGAGCGATTGCTTGCAGATGGGCATGGCATTTGTAGTCTTTGAGAATGGCATTTCCTCATGCAATTTTTACCAGCAGCCCTTCGATAGCCGCACCCCCTCGCATTGCCCACTTGTCATTTGCTGTTTTATGACTCTAGTTGAATGTATACAATTTAACGCTTCGTTCCCGCTGCCTGTTCATGCCACACGGCAGGCAGCACGCTAACGAGCCTTGCAACTTGCAACAGCTCACAGCGTGTGCCTGCCTTACAAATTTGTATATTTCCAGTAGCCAACCAACGAAAGTTTCTGCCCTCCGCTGTTGATAAACTGTGTTGCAACACTGCCCTGCAGCAATACAAATCCCTTGTACAAGACGTATCAAAAAGTTGTGGTTGTATCTGCCTCAGCCGGAGAAGGCATATGCGAATTAATCAGGCATATGTGTGTGTATATAAATATTCTTGAACATCATCAAAAGCCTTCTGTAATGGTAAATGTGTGTGTCTTAAGCAGTTTAAGGAGCCGAAAAAATGGTATATATAAAAATGTGTGTAAACCCTAATTAGACGACAGCTGAGGATACTTTATTTTCTTAAAATATGTGCAACGCGTTGAAGTTACAGCAATTATATGGTGTACATGAGCTTTATTTGTATTTGAATATAATGTTTCTTATGTTTCTTATGTTTCTAATTAAATTAGTCAGCTTTCATGGTATTAATATCGGAACGTTGCTCAGTAATTTCGAGCTTCATTGTGCTTTAAAGACATGAGCAACATCTTATTTGTATCGAACTTACCTATTAGAAAGGCTGCTAAAAAGTGTCTGAAAGAAAACTAAAGAGAGAGTTAACATCTGCTATTAGTATGCAGTCCTTATCATACGTGTATTATCTTCAATATAAAAAAAGTAATTGCAATGCAAACAAAATATGCAGTATAAGTATGTTGTACGCACAATAGACGTATAATACGTACAGCAAGCTGAAGCGTCAGGTTTTCAATGTATGTACACTTATGTACAATAAATTAAAGACATGAAATGTTAGATAAATAGCATGCTTGGCTTTTCTATTGGACAACAGGGGGTAACTTGCCAATGAAATACCTTTCATTTTTTTTCTCGGGTTTCTTAATTAATTATTTCACATGCTGATTGCAAAGCAGCATATATTAAATTAATTTATATGTCAAAGGTGGCAATTTCACAATAATATTTAGGAATTTTGCCGTAATTATCAAAAGAAATAATATGCATTTCAAGCACTGCGAAGTACTTTTGTTATTACAATTGTGGTTAATAAAGGACTCAAATAGCTACGTATTATTGACTTATGAAATACTTTGGTTGATTAAATCACAAATTAATTACAAAGAGTGCAGTTACATTGAACAATTATTAGGAAATGTGACAATTGGCAGGCCTTATAAATTGATGAATTGCCGACTTGTTGAGTTATTTGCGGAAGTCCATTGATAGTGATTGATATTATGCAGCACGTTGGCTGTGCTGCAGGTTGGCGTGGCATGTGCATCACAGAATGTTGCGGCATGACGCATTTTTAATTATGCTTTGACAATGGCTGCCCGCAATAATAAGCCAAATGACGCAAGTTGTAGAAAATCCGCCAGCTCTCTGAGGGTTATTAATTATTAAGCATGCATTAAAAGGGCCTGCAGATACACACTTACACGCACACACACCCGCGCACCTGTCTGGCGTGTGTGGCATTCACACGGATTTACATGTGTGCATATTTGCATATTAATTAGGAACTGCGGCATATGGTCTGGCATATTCATAATCCATTGATAGATATTGTTGATTTGTTGCATAATGAATACCATAAACAGGCACTACACCACAAACATTCACCGCCCCCTGTGGCGCGCCAGCAATGACAGCCGGCCGGCTGCAGACGGGCAACAGACAACGGGCAACGGGCAACGGGCCACGGGCAACGGGCTGCAACATTGTCATTAGAGCAATTGTCATTAACATGAGCGACAGCAATGAGACAACATCATTATCAACGTCAGCGAGAGAGGCATTGTTGTTGTTGCTGTTGTCAGCGTCATCGATGTCATTGATGTCGATGTCAGGCGCATTAAACATGCAGCAGCATTTGACAGAGCTATCAACAGCTAACAACATTAATGGGTGTTGCCTGTACAGGAGATCCTTCTCCCTCCCTCCCCTCTTCAATCATCAGCCCATACACGCACACAGCACCCAGCTAGAGGCCATGCAGCTTAATGCGCTGTCATCGCTGGGTTCCGGCCATGTTCGTTGTCATTGCTTTTAATTATTTTGCAAATTAATTTCCAAATTGGTAATTTTCTTCACATTTGCACACACACATACACACTTTTCTAGTGAGCCGCCACTTGCCAACGACAGGCCTAATGAGTTTTTATGTTGTGAGTAGCATCAACTGACGCTGTAATTGACTACAAGTTGGCCTATTTGCAAACAGACGCCCCTGGCGTATGCTCACTCGTTTATTGTCATGCGAAATTGGACGTATTTACAGAGTTGATGTCTGGTACTTAATTACCCTGATTTTATTAGCCTTAACTAAGCATTAAATTTCGTTCAGTTTGAAATCAATTTCAAATTTGATTTACTCAAAGTTCATAGATTTAGGATCGTAGCACTATTCTGAGGCTTTAGTAACTTCAACGCTATTTAGACTCGTATAGAAGTTTACTCTCCTTTGACGAACCAGTTTCTACCTCGATAGGAAAAATTGTTTTGGCAAAATGAATAGAGAAATCAAGGAGTCATTCAACTAGTTAGTCGATCAGTAAATTAGTCAGTCAGTCAGCGAAATAAACTAGTGAAATAATCAATGATCATCAATCAGTCACTCGATCAATTGTCAGTCTGATAGTTAATTGGTCAATTAAACAGTCAGTAAGTGTAATAAACGGACAATAATTCAGTTAATCAAACAACCAACAACAACCTGTGACTGACGACTCAATTACTGGGTCGTTAGGCTGGTGCATTGATCGTCAATTTATCAATCAGTCTATCTGAAAGTACTCTATCAGTCTGTGGATAGTTATTCAGTTCAGCAAACAGTCAATCCGTTCGTCAATCAGTTGGTGGGTAATTTGGTCAACCAGTCAGTCAGTTAGTAAGTCAGAAAATGAATACAACAGTTTTTTCATATAACAGTGTGTCAATCATTCATTTTATTTTATCAGTAAGTAGGTGCTCATCAATTAATCAATCGAAATTGAATATTTTATAATATAATATATTTTAAGAACTTAGTTTTCCTTACGAATATCCTACAAAATGAATACCTTGCAATATTAAATTGAATAATTAAACTTTTAATTACCTTTCCAGCTGATGGCATAATTATTTAATGTTATTCAGCTTCATCGGCGTATTTAATGATTCGCATTATAATTTATTTACTATTCTTGTAATTACGTTCATAAATATAATATTATTTATGTTTTATTATCCATGCGATTGGTAATGATGTTGACGTACTGAATTAATGTTGAATTTGGCTCTGAAGAGTCACTCTTGAAGTTAAATGAAGCGAATACTTCACTCGCTGCGCTCATTTGATTTTTAATTAGAGTCTCTGCACTTGGCCAGAGCTGAAGGGCGCGTAATTATTGTTTGGATAATGCGGAAATTGACAAACATGTCGTATGATTTGAGTTCAATTATCAATTTCTGACGTGTTATTAATTACGACAAATTATTTATTACACAATTTCCATAGGAGTTCTCTAATTCAATCGGAGAAATGGAGTAGGTAGTAGTTGTTGGAGTGGTGACAACAGGCAACTGGCGGCGACTCAAGTCAATCGCTTGCCATTAGTAGCAACACTTGCTACACGCACACACGCATGCACGCACATACACACACACACACTATGCGCAATACATCCAAAAGTATGGATGTGCGTGATGGCGGCCTACGTTGCGTATACGTAATTATTTTCTTTATGTTTGACGGACAGGCTGAGAGTCGCACTGACTGCGGACTGGAGGGCAGTAGTCGACACGCAGCTGCGCCTCGCACATGCACACACACACAGACACACGCGCACCTAACAACACTTTTCCGTTAACAATTTCCGCCTTGCCACCCAAGTGGGTCTTTGCAACATTGAGTGTCAGCCAGTCAAAGGCAAAGTCCCAGCTGCTTCACAAGGAAGCACGCAAATTTTCTTCGGCTCCTCTTTTGGGGCGGCTGATTAGTGTTGATTGGCATTTCTCGCTTTGCTGCTCATCAATGCTAATTTTTTTGTGTGCTTCGAATTTGTTGGGCTGCCACAAAGTTGTTGTTGCTGTGGTTGTTGTTGTTGTGCAAGAAAAGCAGTTTGCAAATGAAGCGCAAATGCAAAAGATTGATTGACGCAACATTTTGCGTTGGTGTTGGATAATGATGAAGTGCTCGGCATTGTGCCAATCAATCGCCCGTCTACGATTACTATAACATAGAATTACAATCAATGAGCACAATTTAATAAAGCAAAGTAATTAATGCGCTTAGCCAAACCAAAGGTGGCCAAGCAAACCCACGCACACCCAAAAATATGAAACACAATCATTTTTTTGTGTTTTTTTGTTTTTGGCAATTTTGTGCCATGTCAACACTTACGGCTCGTTACGCACGGCTGAGCGACAGGGCCCGTAGCCAGATGCGGAACATGATGCTGATGATGTTGGCCATGGCTGATGAGCGCGGCTTAAATAAAGGGAAAAGCGTAAAATCAACAACAGCTACAGCAACAGCTACAACGAGGCCAAACAAAAGGCATGGAAAACGCAAACATCAACATTTTGCACAAATAATAACAAACATTTATGGCATGACGGCATAACTGTAACTACACACGTACAGCGCAGTATCAGTGTGTGTATGCATGTGTGTGTGCGAGTGTGTGTGAGTATGTGCCTGATATATATGACAACACATGTGCAACGTTGACAGCCATTTTAATGGAATATGCGCCAAAACAGCGCCAAACCCGAATGGTCAAAGAGACAAGCAGCAAATGTGTTTGCCACATGGTTGGACAGCAAATATATAATCCCAGGCAGATTACAAAAACTCTATATATATATATATATTTATATTCAAAAACAAGTCAGACATAAGCCCAAATGATATCCATTTATGGCTATTTGTAATATGCTTATATTTAATATAATTTGCCCAGTGATTATCATTGATGAAAGGGCTACACGAGCTATCGCTGGAACCTTGCTTCCAAAACCGTAAGAGCAGAGCCGAGTTTAAACCTCGTTCTTCCCAACCACTAATTTAGAAATAAGCAATTTTAATTTGTTTTTAGGTTCAATTTTATTTTGTTCTTTATATTTTTTTTGCCTTGGGGTATATAACTTAATTAAACAAACATTTATCTGTATCTATAGCTGCCTTAAGTTATCAAATTTACGTATTCCTTTTTGTTGACTCACATTACTTATCTTAGCCACTGTAGAAGATTTTGGCTTTCTGTATTTGCTGTACACTTTCATTTGTTTTATATATAAAGATATCTGCTTATTCTCTTTTTGGAATGTATATTCGTGCGGATGGCTCTTGTTGTTTTGTTTATTTTTTTGGGAGCTTCTTTTTTGTATGTGAGTCATGCGTGGAACACCTGCTGCTACCCGTTTTCTGTGTTAATTCGTGCGTTGTGCCCTGGCGCGGTATCTATCCGTCGGATGCCTCTCTGAGGCCTGTCAAAGCTGCCGGTACAACGCACATGTGAACAAACAGCAACCGGCTAGCGGCAACCAGCAACCAGCAGAGTCGGCAAATTTCACAGGGTCTAAAGCACGATTCGTTGCCAAAACACGCACAAGGATCCCCCTGCCCTGTCTTTGCCCAACGCGCCTGCTCTATCTGGAGCCTGTCAGACAAGCGCCACAATACTAGTTAGTCCTGGGCTATGGCTCTGTGTTTGCACAGGATATGAGCGTACTTGACATACGAATAAGGCTCTTGAAATGAATATTCTTCAGTTGTCAAAATATTCCCAAAAATTAAGAAGCTAGCAAACAGAAGCACAACTCCGAGCTTATATTTATTTTGGGGCACAGTCGATACAATTTTACCATACAATTTATTGAATTATTGAAATATATAGAATGCTAGGGAACTGTTTATGTGATTGTTTCTTTTGACTAGGCTAGCGCGTACTAAAAATATACAATACTTAATAAATAGTTAATAGTAAAGGAAACAAAAGGCTCTTAGAATGAGTTTTTTTTTCCAATTTAATGGAATTAGTGGAAATGTTGAAAATTTGAAGTCTGTACACTAGGCGTGCCGTCCTAATCAAGAATATATATCCTTTATGAGGTCGGACACAATTGCACAAAGCCATTTAACCATAAAAATAATCATAATAATAATTGAAAAATAATAAAATATAATAATGAAAATAAAATAAATTGAATTTAGAAGTACATAAAAGTTTATTTGACAAATTGTTAAGCGCTTAAACATAATCAATTGGTGAAGCTTATGTAAAGTTTTAAAATCCGTTGAAAGCATTTATATATGAGGTATATTTGCTTGCCAATTTAGTGATATCGACTGAAAAACTAGGATTACCCGGACTGAAGCGCATAAAATTCAATGTTCAACTATTTGAGCTGAAGTTAAGTCCGTGCAAATGGCTGCAACGCGATATATGTGAGAGAATTTGCTGCAAATCACTTGAAATTTTTCGCACCTCGCAGCTGACAGCTCATGCTACGCTATATATATACACACACACACATGCATATATATATATATATATATATACAGAGTCAGTGAGACGCCAATTTACAGCTACTCAGACACTCTGACACTCATTGGGTTCGCTTTTCGGTGTGGAGAGTTGTTTGTGCGATTGCTTCTTGTTAGTGTTCGTTTTCGTGCTTGCCCGCTGCGATTGACCAAGTTTTCAATTATTTACAGGTAATTTGGTTCAAAGACACCATGCAATTGGACACCACCGAGCGGCACATCATGGAGAATCGCGGCTCACGTCACACGCTGATTATACGCAAAGTGCATCCGCAGGACTTTGGCAATTACTCTTGCGTGGCTGAGAATCAGCTTGGCAAGTCACGCAAAACTCTGCAGCTAAGCGGAAAACCGAATGTTGCCGTTTTTAATTCACCGGCAATCAGTCAATACAAGGACAGGTAAGTCTTCACAGTCCACCACAAATGTTCCGCCTGCCGTTCAATTGCCAGACAGACAGGCAGCCGGTCGTAGCAGACACGTGCCCGTCCACGTGACTACGTGCCACATACACACTCGCACACTAGCAAAATTTGAGGAGAGCTTGACTTCAGTTGAGTTGAGTTAACTTCAGTTCAATTGAGTTCAATCGCCCACGCAGTAAGCTGAGCGCCTAATTAGCGCAGCAGAGTGCTCAGATTTACGCGGCGTACACGTTACAGGTCATTAAGTATACGCCAGCGAGCGGCACATTGAAAAAATTGTGTTGCGTAAAAATACCAAATATCAGTTTTTCAGACAGTTCAGCATACAGAGACAGCGGCTTTATTAGATTCATTTCGTTGAATGACACAAAAACTGTGGGTATAGTCGGACAACTGGTCGTATACGTAACAAATAAAACTTTTAATTGGATTAGCTGTCATCAGAAGCATACAGAGCCAGACAGACGCACACACACACACATGTCTATGAGGACAAGCAGCCAAGCGACAAACAAGCTCACATCTCACTGTCACACACACACATAGACGTAAGTACGGCACAGTCAGACACGGCGACTGACAAAGACATAGACAAGCATTCCGATAGCTTTAGACCTACCAAGCTGCCAGCGATTGGCATTGGCACCTTTCAATAATTCAACTTGAATTAAGTTCAATAAACTAGAAAAAATACACATATATATACATTTAAACATATATGTATATATATATATATACATGCAAAGATATTGCCATTGAAAATGTGCGAAATTGAAAATGCTTAGAAAAAAAGGTCGAGCACATCAAATAACTTGCACATAATATGAAATACCAAAGCCAATTTATGAAACTATAGTGCCTGCTCGCAAATTGTTAGCTAAGAAATATGCAAGATTTTCTGAAATGAGGAAACCTATTTTTATGCAGTTTCGCAGCATATTCCTTTGCATTGAAAATGTTCATATATTTTGTTATGCAATTTGCATGTCATAAACTTTAACTTAAATACATAAAGTTACTTTTTAGAAACACAGGGGATTTGTTTTCTTGCATGCAAATATATTGAAATGTTAGGAAGAAATCAAAGTGTTTCCTGAAAGCAAATATCCAAGGCTCCAGAAATTTGAACTAATTTACAATATCCATATTTTAATTATTTCCCGTATACAAATTTTATCAAAGAAAAGCAACCGTCTTATTATACCCTGAACCCATTAAAAATGGGTATAAGGGTATATTGAATTTGTGCAAAATCCAAATGTATGTAACAGGCAGAAGGAAGCATCTCCGACCCCATATATATATTCTTAATCAGCACCAATAGCCGAGTTGATCTAGCCATGTCCGTCTGTCTGTCCGTCCGTCCGTCCGTATGTATGAACGCAAGGATCTCAGAACCTGTTCCCGCGCAGATCGAGTATGTTTCCGATAATCGATAAATTACTCCGTTTCCAAGCAATCGATAAAAACCGATATCGATATCCTGTTTTTTGGGCAATTTTGGTAAATAATAAGAGCTAGAGTCACCAAACATGACATATAGCTTCTAAAATAGATAATATATATGCATTTGATGTTGGAAGAAGAGGGTTCAGGGTATCGACCTAGTCGGGAGCTCCCCACTAGGACCTCTCACTTGTTATTTGTTTACTAGTTCTTCGAGTGAAATTTAAAATAATAAATATTTTTATATAATAATTTATTCTTAGTTAAATAGAATATAAATAACTTAAATAAATTACTACGAACTTTTTAAGAAGAAATTTGATTTTTCTAGAAATGAAAAACCAAATTTCGAAATTGCGGGCATAAATTAAATATCTTAAACTTTCAATTTCAACTTTCAAGTTCCAAATTAAATTACTATAATATTAAATATCATTAGCTACGCAAATGATGTTTGTTTTTAAAGACCGCCAACTGTAATTCTATTATGGCCTAGCCTAGCATTGCGTTGCGCATACGCCGCGCATAACAAAGTTTTACTAGACAAATGCGAACATTGGCATTGGCAATGGGGCCCTTAGAGAGAATAGCAATGTTTTTTTTTTTTTTTTGGAGGGGAGATACTGAATGGGATTCGGTTTGTCAACACGACGCTGATTTCATTTTGGTGCCTGCGCCGGAAACTGCTGCCGGCAATTAAGGCCGGCAAATTGTTGGCCCGTGGAGTCAGACACGGTAGTGAGGGGGCGAGCACAGTCGGCGCCTGGCGCCAGTCGCTGCCTCTTCAATTGTTCATAATCATTTTTATTGCCTTCCTTACTTTGATGCTATATGCGAAAAGTTGCTCTGATTGGCGTTTTATGTTTTTATTGTGCGCAGGACTTCAGGTTATTAGTTCATATGGTTCAATAAGCATGCAAAAAAGAAGAAGAAAACACACACAACCCGCAGAAAAAAAGTAAATATATAAAAATAAAATTACGTACATTGAAGCCAAAATATATGCCAAACACAAGCAAAGTTACAAGCACAAATGGCAGCCGCTTTGGTATTTGGATAAGTTCGCTTGTTTATGGCCTTTAACTCGTCCTCCTCCCTGCTCGCAAAGTCGGATCCCTCCGCGCGCGCCCAACTGATTAGCATTCAAATTGTGTGCCGAGTTTATCGCAAAGCAATGAACTAGCGCCTTTGTAATGTGAATGCGCAGGGGAATGAGAATGCGAAGGGGAATGTGTATTGGTTATGGCACAAGGACAACAAGGACGAAACGCTTGCTTGTAATTAGTTGTTTACTTGAACGCTGCCTGAATAGTTTCGCCTCTCGATTACCGCCATAAATACAGCCGAAGCCTGACGGCAATTGTTGTTTTTGTTGCTGTTGCTGTTGCTGTATATATAAACGCGTTTGTTAATGAGCCGTTCGATTAAAGCTGAAGACAAATGGTAGGCAACTTAAAGCTGAGGCCAATGGCCAAAACTGCATTTGGCTGTGTGCGGCCAGTGTCTGGCAGTGGGCGTGGCATATTGTTAGCTTTTCGGTTGAACGAACGAAACGCATTGTGCTATGAGCGAAGGACAAACAAAGGGCCAATAACAAAAGTAGAGAGTGGAGCAACAACAGCTACAACAGGGACGTCAGCAACAACAACAACAACTTTATGTGCGGTATCTTAACCCCAGCCATTGTCAGCATTGATTATGTTTCTGTTGTCGCAGCAATTGTTGTTGTTGTTGCTGCTGCTGCTGCTGCTGTGGATGTTGATGTTGCGTGCTGCCCGCCTGACTGCAGCAACATGGCTTCATATCAAATTTAACAATTACCTATTGATTGAGTTCGCCTTAAAAATAAATCTGGCGTCAACTGTTGCACGCAACCAGCAACTAACTAGCTCACCCACGCTTTCTCTCTCTCTCTCTCTCTCTCTCTCTCTCTATCTCCCTCTCTTTGCTGCTGCTGCTGATGCAATATGTGTAGATACAACATCTCGTGGGCGGTCGACTCGCATTCACCCATCGAGGAGTACAAGTTGTCCTTCCGCAAGCTGCCACAAGGACATGAGGTCGTTGACAATGCCATTGACTCGCAATCCTCGTCGTCATCATCCTCATCCTCCTCCTCCTCGTCGTCCTCGTCTTATGGCACTGCCAGCCACAATCATCGCATTGGCAGCAACTTGGCCAACTATGGCGGCTATGGCAATCTGATGCGCTGGGGCCACAACGATTGGCGCGATGTGGTGCTGCCAGCCGTTCCACTGTCACACCACTATGCGCAGGGCATGAGCTACATGGTACGCGGACTGGATCCAGATCAGCAGTATGAGGCCACAGTGCAGTCCCGGTAAGTAGCACAACTTAAATAAGCAATCTCTAAAGTGAATGCCGGCTCGCAATGAGACATGAAAGTATATCTCTGGGCTTCCCAATATAACATACGCTTGCAAATATATTGCAGATTTGAGGCTTGTTTGTTTGCTTTGCAACACACTGCTGCTTTCATTTATTTGAATTTCATTCTGTGTATTTTAGATATAGCTGAGCTTGGTTAAATAATCGAAGAAAGATAAACCAAAAAAGTCGAATAATTTAATTCCCAGAAACATGTATATTATGATAGACAATTTTTGATTTTTCCAATAAACCTCTTATATTATTGTAGTCCGAAGCATGTAATTGAATGACCAAACACATTTAAGAAAATGTTTCCATTCAAAAACTTTGTTTTTACCGATATTGTAGAACCATTTGAATAGGATTTTTCGCATAACTCTTGAAAACCAAATTTATTCAAGATTCCTTTTAGAACAAAAAAGTTATATATACAAAAGCTTATGTATTAGCCCAATTCAGCCAATTCTGATTTATATGCTGCTTTCAACAGCAAAGAGACAGATGGGCAAAAAGTCAAGGGAAGATAGACACTGACTACAATATAAAATCCAATAGTTTTTCAGTTTGATTCGCTAGCGTGCAATACACATGTTGCATAGTTGCATATAAGTGCCGCACAATTAATTGTGGCAGCTGCAGCAACAACAACGTTAATGCGTGTTAAATTTATTTGTTCGTTCACAGCAATCGCTATGGATGGAGCGACTTGACTAACAGCTTCTACTTTTCAACATCGTCAAATGGTAAGTGCTGCCCGCTTTATAATTGTATACATTATATACATATATATCTCGATATAGTACATAAAGCATATAAATATGCCATAAATATGTATAGCATATCAAATTTTAAGCCTGGCGCATGCCTGCTGCTCTGTGTGTGTGTTTAATAAGCTGTTCACACACACACGCACACACAGGCATGCTTATGCATGCGCCTGGCGCTTATGCTACACTTTTTTATTGTTATTTTCAAGCTTCTGTTGTGATATTTTTTGTTTTTTGCTGACTGCATGCATAATAATTTGGTATTAAGTGCTACTCCCAATGATAATCCAGAAAAATCACAGTGCAGCGTCATGAAAATCGCGTTACACGTCAGCGCAACATCCCCCGTACAGCCCAGCCTGCTCTTCAACAACTACAAAAATAATTTGTTGAAAATTAACGCGTTTAAATCTGTATATATAAAAAATAAATTGTTGTAAGACATGAACAATTAATTGCTGCATTAATTCTCGCGCACACTCATGAATATAATTTTCCGCACATATATTAAGCATACGCACTGTAGTCTTTCGCCACAATTGATCGACTAATTGCAAAGGCCGGCACATTGCTAGTTTGACTTTGCATAATGAGCGTGAAAAATCAAATAAGTACATATACGCACACACACACGCGCACAGCAATGGAAAGCACTAATTGGATGCGCGCGCACATACACGCACACACACACACACACACACATTTCTTAAGAGTTGTCGTTGCGGTTATAAATAAACAAAGATGCAGGGCGTCGATTGGGTTTTGCGTTGGGCAGACAGGCAGCAGGTGGCAGGTGGCATGCCGGTGGATCGCATTTAAATGCGCAAACGAAAACCATTTATATGCAAAACTATTGTTGCATTGCATACTGAATGAATGGCGCATTGGCAGAGCATGAAGCAGCCAGGCAGCCAGGCAGCGCGGCGGCAAGTCGCATAAAATGTAGCGCGCGCGCTTGGCTAACCGTTTTACCCCATGCAAATGACGCATATTTACCCGTGCTCTGGAGCCACTGGCATCAGCAGCGGCAGAAACGGCAGCTACCCCCCAATCTACCAGCTACATCTTTTGACTGCGAAATGCATGCAAATGCGAACGCAGCGCCTGGTATTCAATGCCGCCGACTGGCAAACAAACGAATAAATATGCAGACAGGCCAAGAGAAATGCGCAATAAACACGCACACACACAGACAGAGAGGAAAAGAGAGAGAGAGAGAGAGGGATAGAGGGATAGAGAGAGAGAGAGAGTAAGAGGAGCGAGGCGAGAAGCGAGTCAGAGACTGCCAGAGAGGGAGGACAAAGCGATACGTTGAAATTAAATCAAGGAAAACGTGCATGCCACACACTCAACCCGACACACACACAGCTGCAGTATCGATGTCACTTGTGCAAAACGTCTTTCGCTTTTGACAGGTGCGCACATACACAGACAACCAACTGCAAACGACTTCATTACGCGCTATTGTAAGGCGCATAGTTCTTGCAACTGCTGCATTGCAACGCAGCGTTTTGTGGCAAGTCATTGGCGTGCATTGTACTAATGGAAATGACTTCATTATATTTTCGAAACGTAAACAATTTACGCAATTAGCGGCAGGACATGCAATGCAGCAGCGGCAACAGCAGCAGCAACGCCTGCCACCTGGCAATCGTGGCAAGCGCCAACTAATGAGCCCAGAGTGTCATAACTACAGCAACAACCGCAACAACAACCACTGGCAGAGCGGTTATGACCACAATGTCAACAACAATGGCAACCATTGCCGACAACAACAACAGCTAAGCACAACAAGCACACTCGAGCCAACTGAAGCAAGGACTTGCACGCGCGCATAACACACACTCACACACACTTACACGCATACACAAACAGATATTAGCAGTTCATTTACCTGGACGACGTGCTCTGCAAGTCGACCAGCTTGGACAACAGCAGCTAAGGGCCACAGCAGCAGCAATTGCTCCCGTTTTTACTGCTCCTGGTGCTGCTACAGCTGCCCCAACTCGTAGCACTTTGGCTGGCCATGCCACTAAAAGAAAACGCCAATTGAGTGCCGTTGCAGACACAACACAAAAAAAAAAAAACAACGACAACAACCAACGCTCACATATGCGCTCGTGTGGAGTCACAAACATATTTACATACTATCTATGCTAGAATGCATACGTGTGTGTGTGTGAATACTCGTTGGGTGGGAGTGAGGCAATTACGAATTACATTTTTGCAAGCCAAAATAGAATGGCGGTGCTACAGGTCAACACTTTGACTAAGTCAATTGACAGCAACAAGTCAAGCGAGAGGGGAATAGGAGAATTCTCACATTTTCATAGTTGTTCCCAAATTGGAGAAGAGCGATATTGTGCTCTGTCCTATGGAATCTTAAGACTTGGATATATATATTGCACGATATGGATATATATATTGCACGAGTCTAGATATTTTCAAAAAGCGCGCTAGACATTTTATTGTCCTGTAAAAGTTAGATTTTACTATAATTATTTTAATGAATATTATATTTTTATTTAATCTCATTTTATTCCCTTTTTGTATACGAATTTTTAAAATGTTTTCAAAAGTAATCCGTATATCCAACCTTCACAAATTAAATTGGGAACACTTTAAGATCTTATCTCAGATCACAAGCTCTTGGCAGAAATGCATAAAATTCATTTTAAAGCCTATAGATCAGGCCCGAATAAAAACACATTTACCTTATATTAAAGGCAAATACCATTTGTGATACATTTAATCCATATAATATTATTATTTTACTTTTATTTAAAATATAGTACTGTGTGAGTTTTATTTTCAATATTTGCTTCTCAATGTCAGCATAGTTGGCTAACTAATTTAACAGAAAATATCTCGGATATCCCTCAGCATAGTTCCACAATTTAAGTGTACAATATTTTGAAATGTGTCAATTGATGTCCTTCGAGACCGATTGAAAACGCACGCATATATATGACTATGACTATTATGGGAGCCCATAGGGCATATTCAGTTCGATTTTTCGCAGACACGTTGGCAGCATTCAGCACGCCCTTTAAGGGCTTTTAATTTTTATCACACTTTTTTAATGTACTCGCCGAGCTGGACTATTTTCATGGCTGTAACTGTTGTTGTTGTCGTTGCTGTTCTTGTTGTTATTATTGTTGTTGTTACTGTCATCATTTTGCTGCGCAGCGCATAAAAGATACAGCAATTGAGTCGACTGAGGTATGCAACTATTTACGCACACACACACACACACATACACGTAGTTAACGTTAGATACTCACGCTTAGCCTGGCTTAGCTATTCCTCTGTGCGTGTGTGTGTCGTAGGGTCCGACTGGGCTGTGTATTGGAGTGGGGTCAACACTCCCAACAGCACATGGAGACATAAAAAATAATGCATTTTGTGCACGCGAAAAAATACTCGACATAAAGCAAAAAAAAAAAAATAATAGAGAGAAGGCAAAAGAAAAAAGCGAAGTTAAATAAAATTACAACATAAAGTAAGGCAACGAGTGTTGTGTGCGCCAGTGTGTGTCAGTGTGTGTCAGTGTGTGTCAGTGTGTAGACAAGCGATAGGCGGGTGGGCGTGGTACCAAGCAGCTAGCGAATACCAGAAGAAATATCCAAAAATGAAAGACTCGTTGAAAGTTGCGTAAAACTTGCTGAAACTGCCAACTGAGGACCAGTCAGCAATAGCTAAAGCAATGGCAATAGCAATACCAGCTACAGCAACAACAATAACAACAACATCACCAACAACAACAACAACATCAGCAACAGGGCGACGCATTCAAAGGATGACAAAGTGGACCCTTATACTAGGATGAGGACGCGACTGTCGTCTGCTCAGCGCAGCTCAAACTTTCAATTTACTTGTCCAATGTCTTGCTATCTCTGTTACTCCACTGTCAAACCCCCCTTCCCTGCCCGCTACAACCCCGCCCTATCATATTGCTGTTGCCTGTGTGTTTGTGTGTGTGTGCGTTGGAAGCTTTTGTGTTGCCGCTGGGAATGCTTTAGCAAAGGTCTCAAACAACTGCAGCTACAACGTTTTTTTTTCAGCTTGCAAGTTGCAAAGTTTGCCAAGGCGCACACACACACACACACACACACACAGCGTAATAAGCACAGGCCAGAGCAACAAAAAAAAATCTATATAAAAATGTACATATATAAAATATATTATGTATATACGCGCGCCGTTGCAAGTTGTGTAATGCGAATGCTCAACGTGAATGTTATGCTTATGTAAAGTGCTGCTTCCACAATGCTACAAGAGCGGGAGGTCTGGGTGTGTGAAAAGACAGGGTCGAGGGGTGACGCGGTGCTGTTGCTAAAGTTTGCCGCAAGTGCTGTGTGAATGTACAAAATAGATGAAACTGCATTATTATTATAAGTATCACAAACACACACGCACACACCCAGACAAGCACACAAACGAGCACGCGCGCGCATACACAGCTGGGACAAGCTTTAAGCTCGGCTTTAAGTGGCCGTTAGCTCAGATCCTCGCTTGACCACAAGTCAACTAGAATATTGCTGCTGCCACAAATAAAAAATTACAACAACAGTTGCTAACCAGCAGCCTGCCACAAAGCACTGGAAATCCAGCGCCCCAAAAAACGTGGGCAATCGCCGTACCGCAAACAATTGCAGAAACTATTCGAGCTGAATTCGTGTACATATGAGTTTGTGTGTGGCTGCAATGTAGGCAAATCTAGGTCTGGAACTCGCGACAGACCGCACCACTTGCCACCGACTTTACTCAACAGCTACACCAACAATTATATATTATTGAGTAAAAAACGAATAAAAATAGCAGCACGGAAAACAATACAATCGCAATTGGAATGCTGTTGATAGAATTCGAAGCAGAAGCGCATGAATGTGTGTGTGTTCATGTACACAAAAACTCGTGGAATTTGCGCTTGCTGCTGCTAACACGTGTGCAGCCAAAACACACAAAAAGTCAATTGTATTTAAAATATGGCTTAAATTGGTGGGCAATACAGGTTGGGTTATTAACATGATTTATAACTCTGCGGTGGTAACGGAAAGGTGGCGATAGCTATAAAATGAGCAGCAACATATAAGGTTTGCTTACTCCAGGTCTTATTATTTACCCAATTTGCTCAAAAGACAAGTTTTCGATATCGATTTTTATCGATTACTTGACAACGGGATAAGCTATCGAATACCGGGAACGAACTCGATATGCGCAGGCGCAAGGAGAACCTACAGTAAAATTTCAAGTCTCTAGCTCTTACAGGCTCTAAGATCTTAGCGTACGTACATACGAATGGACTAACGGACCGACATTAATATTTATTAAATTGCTTACAAATGAATTGCTTGGAAAAGAGCTTGCCCACCTAAACTTTGAACTCCCTGTACCAGCACGGAGAGGCTGTTGTTGTTGTTGCTGTTGTTGATGTTGTTGTTTCTGCGGCAAATGCAAAAGCGTAGCCGCGCACTCACTTACCTACACGACCAGCCCCCTCCTCGCTCTTTCACCATCAGCAGAACTACCTCTCGAAAAAACAGAAACAAATCGTAAAAAAAAAAAATGGTGAGCGCTTAAAAATCGGATTTAGCTGATGCACCTATCAGCATACAACTGTAAATATGGGTGTGTGTATGTGTGTATTTGTCGCCGGACCGCAATGCTATTACGTGAATAGTGCATTCGTCCGGCGCCGGGTGGAGCAGTTCGAGCACAAAAACCTATTTCACAACCCAAGCGAACCGATGCTGGGGCAGGTGCTGAAATGCGGCCAGTGCGGTGAATGCAACGTTGCAACGTGGGGCGTCCAGTGACGCTTGTTTAGCGAATCGCGAAACCTGCAACGTGCAACGTGCAACGTGTAACGCAAAACTGGAAATCACAAGTGACGTTATGGTTTTGTGCCACCAAACCGCAGGCAATAAAAGACGCAATGACAGTCGATGGCAGTGACAGAACCAGCAGCCGCGGCCACATTAGCTCCACTGGACACACACATACACGTACCTTACACACTCGCACACTCACGTGTGTCTGTTTTCATTACAAAAATTGTTAGCATTTCGCTGGCGCCGCAATTGACAATTTGCCCATAGTTTATGTGTAGGGTATGCGAATTTATATGGTAATTCGATGTGTTGCCCATTTTTCCAAGTCGCTTTATGTGGCTGCCACTAAATGGAAGGGGGCAGCAATGAATTCAGGGCGTGGCACAGTTGAATTTACAGCAATGGGCAACAGCATTTCTAAATTGAACGTGTCATGTTTTGAGGCGCTGGCAGCACAGATGCCTCAATAGATTAGCTGTCCTGTTAGCTAGCACATGTGCAACATGCAACATGCCGCACACACACACACAAAGACACACAGACAGCTTGCAACATCCGCTGTCCGGCACACTGTCCGTTGTTGGGTGTCTATTAAAAGTGTCAGCAAATGACTTGAACATGTGCGCCGCAGCAAATGAGAACACGTCAAGGATGTCAGTGGCTGCCGGTGCTAAGGCCAGACTCCTGCCGCCCGGCTTTACACTGCAGCTCGATGCCAGGGACGCTTCTGACAGCCACATTCAATTCGTTGTAGCTGCTGCATGAGATTTGTATGTTTTAGATAATGTCGAACCAGTCGGGCCCGACGACCGGTGAGGCACATCAAATATGAATAAGTTTTGAGCGCCCATCCCAGAGATAGCTCTATTTGACAGCTGTCGTGTAACAGTTTTGCAATAAGCACGCACACAGACATACGTATAGTATATATATACATGCGTAGTTACACTATGGGACAAATTGAAATATTTGCCTTTATTTCAATTATTGTTTCAGAGGCTAAGAGGCTGCCCAGGTTGTTGGGGCTGAAATCTATTTTCAATCCGAACCGGTTTGAATAGCTCAAACGCGCCCACTAAAATTGAACCGCTTCATACCCTCTTAGCCCTCTTAGGCTGTTATATAGCTTTCGGCTGAACCGGTTCGAAACTGAACTAACTGCTAAGCGAACCTTTCACAAAATGATTCAAATGGAAACACGAACCGAAACATATATTTTCAAACCAGTAAAAGTAAACTGTTATAAGTTGCCAGACGAACCAAACCGAATCGCAGGCAACGTAACCGTAAAAAGAACCAATGTGAATGTTTCTTTCTTTTTTTTTTTGTGCTAAGAAAAGGATTTGCAGTCATATCTTAAACCAGTGAGTGACCTTTTGCCTGCAGTACCTTGCTTATTGCCCACTGTGCATTGGCTGCCAACTGGAGCTGAACCGGCTCAGAGTTTCATTATAAACCAGCAGTCGGACTGGGCATGGCTCAGCGTTGCCTTGGCTATTGAGCGCGTTCATTTAACCTGGCCAGCCTCCTGCTGTGCGCTGCCTGCGCTCGACTTTATCGCTTGGTTTCTTTCACTTCTGCGCGGCTGAGCAGCCAATGCGCCAGCAATTGCAATTGCCATCGAAGCTGAAGCCTAGCCGGCGGACGAATCAGAGATGATTCTGGGCCTGGCTTTAATGGCGAAATGTTCATTTGTCATTATTGACAGATGTCGCACGTTTGCCATTTTAATTGGCGGCTCAAACAAAGTCCATATAGTCTACTCTCCCGCTGCCCCGCCGTCCCACCGTCCTTGGCTCCTTTCATGCAATCGCGCCTGGGCGGGCAAAGTAAACTTCTTCTTTTTTTTTTACCCAGACTGTCCAATGCAGTCAAAAGCGTTAATGATTTATTTGCAGCCATGGCTTTGAGTTTAAAGTCCGCTCGCTTTCGCTTTTTTTTTTTTTGGTTTTTCTTGATTTCTTGGACAAGCACAACTATCGCTACTATCGCAACTATCGTTCTACTTTTCCAATATGACTGATCTCACACACATGTCAATTGCAGATGTGCTTGTCGATTTGTCCACATTCTTAAATCACGGTCAGTCAGGTTAGTTTTCGCCTTGCCTATCTCTACTTAACTTTTTCTCACTCATTCTTTCTTTCTCTCTCTCTGTCTCTAACTTTCTCTCAATCTCTCTCTCTCTCTCTCTCTGCTTATCTTTTGCTCTAACTTGCGCTCGCTATTTTTCTCTGTTTTTCTGATTTGCATGTTTATATCTGCATGTTTTTTGTTTGATATGCATTCTCTTCATAAAACACACAATATTTGCGATAAGCCCACAGCTTCTAAAAAGTAAATAAATATATAAGTCTCAATAAAATAGCAAATATATATATATAAGTATATATATATATATATGTATATGCATATATGAGTGTATGTGTGAATGCCGTTTACCAAGCATTTTGTGGCAACAATTTAATTCTTTTTTTCTGTTCAATTTGCAAGGCTTTGACAGTAAAAAAAAGTACAAAAAATAATAAAAAAAAGCGCTTTAAAAGGATAACACTCATTTTTCGTTGCGCATGTGTTTGTGTGCGTGTTCGTGCGTTTTGTGTGTGTTTGCATTATTTTTAAAAGCCCATTGGCTACATTTGAAATGTTGCAACCTGCATGAGTCATGCCATTTCTTTTATAGCTGCAATATTGAAAATATATACGCCCCCACACACACTCACACACACGTGCGTACAATTTGATAGAGATAACTGCATATACGAAGTAATGATTGAATTTGCTTTGTCCATGGACTTATTGAAATCTATTTTTGGATGCGCTCAAACTATAAACGATGGCAGCAATTAAATGCAAATCGATTTATGTTATTTACGAACATTTTCAATTGCAGATAACGAGATGCGGGATCTGAGTGTTACCTTCTATGGCAGCGGTGCGGTCAATCGACAGAAACTGAGTCTGGTCACACTGAGCGGCGTTACGCTAATGCTTAAACTAATCATGGCTTAGACCCAACGCGTTAGTTTTAATTGGATTTAAGTAACGAATTTCACCGCCAATAGCATATACAAATTGAACGAGTTTTTGGTTTGTTTTGGAATACTTACTTAACGACAACCGAACGGGCAGTAATTGTGCCACATCAAAGAAAAAAGAAAGGGAGTAAAAAGAAACAGCTCTAGTTGTAACTAGCTTAAGACATGCAACATTTTCTCAAACTCAACTCAACTCAACTCTCAATTTTGAAAATTCTCAGAACATTTCAAACATTAAACGAACAACAAAGTAATAACTAAAGGCAAGAAATGGAACCATATAAGTATATATACATATACTACGATACAATCAATGTAATAGCGTAAGCAACTGTGCATACAACATATGCATACACTCACACTCACAAACACATACACACACATTTAAATACATGGATACATACAATATCTCAACATTTCAGCACTCGAAACTCCAGTGTACATAGATTTTATTGCATACTTTTAGGTGTAGGCAAAAAACTGCACTAAAGAAACAAATGAGAGAAAGAAAAAGCGTTAGGAAGCTAAATGATATATGATATAAAGATACAGTACAACAAAAAGATACATGCCTATACAGCCACACACACCCATACACATACACACACACACACACACACACACACACACACACACACACACACAAACACACAAAAACACACAAAAACACACAGTCATATACAAATAGTGGTATTTAAAATAATAGCATTGCTTGAGTGTGTGCGTATCTTGTATCTAGTATCAAGTATCTTGTATCTAGCATTTAGTATATTGTATGTGTTAATTAAATTAACATGCCAGTGCTTAGCCAATTATTCGTACTCAAACAAAATGCATACAAATAAAGTATAAAAAGTGAAATGAATGTGTATTTATTTGCGCATATTTAGATGGAATACCAATAAGTTTGTATTTCAATTCCAATATGATAAAGCAAGTCGCTGTTTTTTCTAGCTTTTTGCTATTTTGATGTCTTTAGAATTAAGTAGCATAAATAACAGCAGATAAATTAATAAGCTTTGATTTCTACATGTAAATTACATAAATACACGCACACACACAAACACACACCCAACATAAATACACAAACACACACAGTCTTTAAATTAATGCTTTGTATTGCATAAGTGTAAATAATTAGAATTGATATCGAGCAGAGCAGCTTAAATGGCCAAGTAGCAATCCAATTGAGCAGCGGCAAAGTGCTACCTGCATCGTACGGATAAATATACAAATATTAATTATACAAATAAATATATATTAGCAAATTTATTCCGTAACGCATTCGACTTGAACACAGTAAACAGGGTGCGGCCCAGGTTGTTTTTCTTCCAATTTTCTAACATTGTTTTCTTTTGTATATAAGCTGCACCAAGATAATTCCCATTATATAATTACTCTATATATATATACATATATAAATCGCACACACAAAATGTTGCAAAAGGCACCGTTTGTTCGCAGCACCCTGTATTATAATTTCTAGAAAATTTTGAAAGCTAGGCAAAATATTTCATCTAGTCAAATGCAGTAAGTAAATCATAAGAATACAAATCATAATAAAATTTAAAGCAGCTGTTGCTTAAAATAAAAAATATATAAAAAAAAAAAAACAAACAGAAACTTATATGTAAACACGCCAGTCTATTTATAAATAAAAATAAATAAACAATTTACTCAAAACAGCTTTTAATTAATTACAGTCATTTGCCCGAGCAAACGGCTGCACATAAAAAAATAAATAAAACAACAAACGGAAACAGAAAAGAAAAAGAAAATACTTAAATGGTATTAAAAAATTGTATGTTTAATTCAAACTCATGGCCAAATGCAGAAACGGCAAGGCGAACGTATTTATAATTGTATTAAAATAGTGCGTCACACATACATATGTATATGCATATATATGTATATTTGGTATATAGATTACTATATTCACATAAGTGACATTAAAATATTCAAACAAAGACACTTTTCGCCATTAAATAAAATATATGTATGTGTATGCGATTTCGTTTAAATAAAACTGCCCAGGCCCCACCTTACCCCATCCCGCCCCATTCCCACCCACTCCAATTGCTTAGAATCCAATATTGATATAATGATCTTCTAGTATGTATATGTAAATGTGTGTTTGTATGCGTAATTTAATATATATATATATATATATACATATATATATACTTAAATAATTGTATTCAGTTAAAGAAAAAACCAATAGCAAAACGACAAAAAAAAATTGTGTACCATTTTTCTTTTCGATTAATAGATTCTTAGATCCACAGATCTACAGTTATGTGCGATGAGTAAATATAACCCACAACAACTACAAAAAAAAACCAAAAAAACAAGAGACATTTTCTGCATTCAATGTATATGTGACTAGATACGTACTCATATGTATATGTAATATGTATATTTGATTATTTTGTAAACATTTTTCAAACAACAACTACATATAAATAAAGTCTATATGAACATATAAATGTAGATGACAGCCCTTTTTAATCTGAAGAACGGGCATACACAACATATATATTTTACCCTTTAAGCAATGCATTGTGAATGGGTAATAGGGTATAATGGTTTCTGGCACATGTATGTAATGTATGTATGTTACAAAATCGATATCAATATGTTTTTCAACAAATCTTATGTTTTAAGAGCTGGAGTCACCAAATTTACCATTATTATTATTATTATTATTATTTTATATATAATTTAATTTAAGTTGTTAATTTTTATACATTTGCCTTAACCCTACTCTCAATCTAAATAAGCTAAGGTATGGTGTTACTCAATTATTATATCATGATCAGCAAAGAGATACGGCGATAAAAAGAGATTGCGACTCATACAAAAAGTATTCAGGTTTTTTACTTGCTGCAGCTGAAGTAAAGCCGTAGAGAGCTCGACAGAATGCACCTCTGTTTCTTTATGGTAACTTCAATTTCTATAGCATTCATGTTGAGGGGCGCAAAGTCTGACAATCAGGCAGTGCGAGATGAAAACTTACTTTCTTTTATGTACACAAAATCTTTAGTGGATGGCTCAACTTGTTTGTGCCATGCTCCGCAACAGGCGTGTAGAAATTTAAGTGAGAGCCGAGTTAAGCCAGGGCTAGACCCAGGCGTTATGGTAAAGGGGAAATGGAAAAGTTTGCATGCTGAAATCTTGTATGCTGCGCTGAGTAGTCGGGTGGCGGGCTGGCGTGTCAACTGATGGGCAAGGGTACAGAGGGCCAGGCATAACTTTAAATGGAAAATTTGACAGGGGTGTATTTGGGATGTCAGCTGTTGACAATGGACAGGCTAGATGCCAGACAGGTGTAATATTTACATAACATATACGCACACACACACACACACACACAGTTGGCACACACAAACTATAACTCTGGCAGTTAAAATTGAAAAGTTGGTCGAACAAGTTGAAAATATCAAAATAAAACATACGGCACAAAATCTACAAATGGCCTTAACAAATTCTGTTGGCATAATATTATTGCCGTGCTAATTTGAGTCCAACGCCTGACGGGTTGCAGTTTGCCCGGCTGCTCAGTTGCCCTGCTGCAAGGTGCAAATGGCATAAAATAGCTGCTGCTCCAAAAAGTAGGCAACCCGAAACATACAACAAGTTGCACCTGAACCCAAAAGCCTACGTGCCGCAGCGTGAACTGAAAGCGAATACGAGCATGGAATGCAAAAACATGGCGACGTCATGTTACAGCCTTATGTGTGTGTATGTGCGTGTGTGTGTGTGTGCGTGCATGTGTACACCTCATTTCCGAGCATTGTTTTTTGGGCCAGGCAGCTGGCGTTGGTCTTGTTGTTGGCTGCAGCTGTGCTGTTTTTGCGTTATGAGCTACTTGTTGTCCCCACGCGCTGCCAAACACAGAAATACACACACATACAGGCAGTGCATGTGTGTGTGCGGCATAAAGTCCTTTTGCCGCTTCTAATGCATTATGGCAACACGAACGCCACTCGACTGCTTGTGTGCGTGTGCGTGTGCGTGTTTGTGTATAGCACAGTCTAAAATATCACTGGCTGCATTGCACAACAAACACACACACGCACACACATCCGCGACGTCTGCGTGTGTGTGACCACTACATAAATATTTGCATATAAAATTTATTATGCTAAAAATAAGCCAAGATTTAAAAGAGAGGCGAAATAAGGCCAACTTTGGAGCTGCATAATAAAACCAGACGCAACCCAGCAACAAATGTCATGACAACCCTCAGCCAAGCTCCCTAAGCCAACCCCCTCAGCCCGCCAAGCAACCTGACATATCAGCCACATTCACACCTCGTCGACTGAAGCCTATTTATGTGACACGCCAGTCGAGGTTGTCGTCGTCTTCCTTGCAATTTAAGACCCTTTGTGAGCCGGAAGTGGGTCACATATGCACCCAAGCCGCAGCTGCAGCTCTAGGCCAAGACAAAGACCACGCCTGCCAGTAATTAGGAACGCGACGATAAATCCCCCCTCTTCCCACTACAGCGCCATACACTCTCCCTACCTTTGCATCCATTCCGAATGGGCACAACATTTGTGCTACTCGAGTGCCTTCACTCGGCTCGTATGTTTGTGCTCATATTTCTGTGGTTCGCGCAATTTCTGCATAAATGAACTTAAACTTAAAGCGGCTTTGAGACACAATCCTTGCCAGCTGCCAGCTTGTTAAGTGTTCAGGCTAAGACGCTCGTAATGCGTTTATCGAGAGCACAAAATATTTGCATGCTTTTAGGCGCACGACCACAAAAAATAGAAAGCGACAAATCCAAAGCAAGAGCTGAGCTTGCCAAGCCAAAATAATATATTTAAAAACAAATAAAGAAAAGAAGCCAAAGAATGTGTTCTCGCGGGTATAAAATGAATACTCTCAAAGATATTTGATTATGAGCTTGAAACCTTTCGGACGGTAAACAAAAAACTATCAAACAATCGTTTTCCACCAATTAATAACTGTTGCGGGTGAAATTTCCCATATCGTTGAAACACGTATTTATTAAGTTCTTATATACAGCTGTGAAAATAAGTTTGAAGCAAATTGGACAAGACTTAAAACTTCACCAACAAAATCTTTGAAGTGCACTTTCCACCGAGGCAGCTTTGATTTTGCGACAATTGTGAAACACGTTTCAGGTGATTTATTATACCCTGAACCCATTAAAAATGGGTATAAGGGTATATTGTATTTGTGCAAAATCAAAATGTATGTAACAGGCAGAAGGAAGCATCTTCGA